CAGGAACACTTAACCATTGAACCATATTCCCAGCCCTATTTTGTATTTTATTTAGAGACAGGGTCTCACTGAGTTGCTTAGTGCCTCGTCATTGCTGAGGCTGGCTTTGAACTCGTAATCCTCCTGTCTTAGCTTCCCAAGCTGTGAGACCTCATCTTTTAATAAAAGTGTTTTAAAAAATGAAAAATAGTGAAAATAAAACATGTATTCTATTTGAGGTAGCTGATTTTATGTGATTTTTGGAGCCAGAGTGTTTCAAATATTGAGCAGTGGTCTTTAAACTATCACAACAGGCTGTGTTCTATAAATACATTCAATACTGTTTCTTCATAGATTTAGATGCATAACAACAACAATAACAAAAGAATGTCTCTGTGAATAGTAGCAAAGAGTTTTTCTAGTTGCCTGAAGGGATTGAAGTAATTTCCCAAAGGGCCACATATAGTTCAACAAACTATATTCAAACAGTCTTAGTTGAACAAGTACTCTATGCTCAGCAATATTGTCTTTTAAAGTTATAGAGGAAGTGTATGATGTCACCTTGGTCCTTAATGAAGTTAAGATTATAATTGTAATAGTAATGCTGAGTACTAAGTGCCAACGATTTTGTTACTGCCCTTACATGTATATTGTTTCACTTTATCCTCACAACAACCATTTTGGTATATATTCATGTGTCCATTTGACAAATGATGAAACCGAGGTTCAGAGAAATTTAATAACTTGCTAAGTAGTGGGGTCAGGACTCTTTCTAAATCTGTCTGATTTCTGAGACCATGGTTTACTTCCTAAGGCATAGTTGGACAGCCAAGATGGACTTGTGGAAGTGAATACTCAGGGACAAAGCAGATAGTGGTTGGCAATGGATACAAAGCTTATGAGGAATGGCTAATGTGTGAGATGTCAGAATCAAGATTCTCAAAGATCTTAGCAGACTGGAATAACAGGAGTAATGAAATTTACTGGAGATAAATGCAAAATCCCCCTTTTAAGTAAAAAAGCAGCTATTTAAGTCCTGAGGAGGGAAAAGATGGTTTAATAAACTCTGTGAGGGGGAAAAAAGGACTTGACAATTAATTTTAATTATTGGCAAGTTCAGGTTCAGTTCATGCTGGAAGAGTAGATGTCATAGATGCTAATACTGTTTGACGCTATATTCATAAAAATATGGAATCTGTTGAGAAATAAATGAAGGCAAGAGGATCAGAGACCTGGGAGTTCAGCCATGTGAGGAATGATTGAATGAATTAGGGGTTTTTGGTCCACAAGTGTTTAGTTCACATTGCTGAAGGATTAGACTTATTCTACCTAATTCCAGAGGAAAGTCCTAGGCCCTGACCAATGAATGGAAGATGTGTGTGGGGAGATTTGGACTAAGCAGAAGCTGTCAGGGCTATCCCAGAATGATCTGAGCTGCCTGGTAAGGAAATGAGGCTCAGGGTTGTGGAGATCTGGATTCTGTGACTCTTAAATGCTATAGGAATTTGGAACATAGGGGGTTTAGTCAGAGAGGCTTAGAAGCAACATATAGGGCTCATTGGGAAACTGAAACATAATTTGATTTAGAAGATTGGTGAGGGAAGAACATTCTAGAAGAAGAAAATGGTATATGAGAAGAAGAAGGAAAAGGGAGTAGATATATTTAGATGCTTGATTCATTGAATAGGGGAGGGTATATGACATGAATATGACCTATGAACTAGTTGGGCAGGAGAGATAATACTGAATAAAAGGAATCTAGGGTATAATATAACTCCATAACACATGAGAAGCAGGAGAACTTCTTTTTTTTTTAAATTTTTATTTTTTAGGAGAACTTCTTAAGGTGCCATTTATTTTCTACCCATGTATTTGACGATATAATATTAATCCAATATGTCACCCAAATCTTGTTTTATTTGCAAGAGCCTGATTTCAAACATCAGGAAGCCAATAGGTACCTCCTTTGTTCCTTCCTGAAAACCTTAGCTCTCTGAAGTGTTTGAAAGGAGACTTGTCAACCATAGAATTAAACCAACCATGTATTGCACCATGTTTGGATTTAAAAGTGAAGTAGGTAGGGGCTGGGGATATAGATTAGTGGTAGAGCACTTGCCCAGCATCCTAGCATAGGGAGACCCTAAGTGCTATCCTCAAAACTAGGGAAAAAAATGGTGATGGAAGTGAAGCAGACTGGATGCACACCTATAGTTCCAGCTACTCAGGATGCTAAAGCAGGGTATCACTTGAGCCCAGGAGTTTGGGGCCAGCTTGGGGAACATAGCAAGACCCCATCTCTTGAGGAAAAAAAAAAAAGAGCCAGGTGCTATGGTACAGTTTTATAATCCCAGCAACTCAGGAGACTAAGGCAGGAGAATTACAAGTTCAAGGCTGGCTTCAGCAACTTAGTGAGACCCTATCTCAAAATAAAAAAAATAGAAAGGGCTGGGAATGTAGCTTAGTGGTAAAATATCCCTGGATTCAATCCCCAGTACAAACAAAAACAAAAACAAAGTGGTTGAAGAGTGGCCAAGTCATTCTCTCTTTTTTGTGGTGGTATCCTGAAAGGGCAGGTGGGACCCTCACCCCAGATTTAGTTTATACTGTGAAGACTAAGGATCCCCCATACCCCAAGAGATGATGAAAAGATGTTGCATGTTCTGGAAGTCTCTGAGGAAGCATGGTGGTCCTCTAGAGCAGGTGTGAATTGGCTTGTGGGTGCAATTCAAGGAATAGAGCCTTGGCATCACTGGGTCTAAGGGATAAGGTTAGATGCTTAAGATTAGGGCCTTGTTAGGTTTGAATCTCCTGCTGGAATCAGAGGAGAGAGACCCAGGCTTTCTTCTTAGCCTTTCAGATAACAGGCAGAATGGGAGGAAAGAGAGCTGAGCTTAAAAGCTGTGAGCATCAGACATCTGAAAGAGTCAGACTATTTCTTACAGCCTACAGGTAGAAACCATTTTTCCATTTTCCACTAGTTTAAAGAATGTATTCCACCACAGCCTATCCTCTGTGTATGCATGTGTGCCAACTGACTGAAAGCAGATGTCTGCTTATTTTCCACCTTAAACTTCCCTCCAGGCCTCATTACCTGTGCATAACCAGGTACTGCCTTCCATTGAAAGTGTGGATGGTTCTGACCCTTTAGCAACTCTGCAGAATCCAATAGCTAGACTGGAGGCAAAAGAAGAAGAGGAGGAGGAGGAGGATGAGGATACTGAGGAAGAGGAGGAAGAAGATGGTGAAGACACAGATTTGGATGACTGGGAGCCAGACCCACCCCGGCCCTTTGACCCCCATGACTTGTGTAAGTGCAGTCACTAGACTCTCAAAGGAAGCCACATGCTCTTTTTCATGAGTATGTGTGAATGTGAACATGGCTCATTTGTACTGAATACTTCCCACATCCCACTCATTGTGTCACATGCTCTGTGTGCATCATCCCACTTCATCTTCACAGCAGCCCTGGGAAGGAGTCATGACACTTGTATTTGTTTTCCAATTTTCCTGATGAGGAAACAAGCCCAAAAGAGGTTAGGCAACTGCTCTGGGTGACACGGGGTCAATGGATGAGGCATCTGAGTCTGGTCATTCTTGATACTAGCCTTCTATTGTAGTTGACCAAGTCCTGGACTATTCAGCTATATCAGTTCTAACAAGTTAGCTTTGTCACTTTCTTCACAAGAAGAGCTTCCCAGCCAGATGCAGTGGTACACATCTGTAATTCCAGTGGCTCAGAATGCTGAGACAAGAGGATCGTAAATTCAAGGCTAGCCTCAACAATTTAGGAAGACCCTTAGCAATTTAGCAAGATCCTCAGCAATTAAGTGAGACCTTGTCTCAAAATAAAAAGGGCTAAGAGTGAAGCTCAGGGGTAAAGTATTCCTGGGTTCAATCCCTCGTACTAAAAAAACAAAACAAAACAAAAAAATTAAGAGTTTCCATTACCAAATCATTGGTTTATCTGTGGATATTCACGCACATGTAGCAAAGTTATGACCTTGTTCATTTGAGTGAATGAGATTGTTCAGAGCTTTGTGGCCTTACACTACCTCTCCTGGGCCATCCATGTGGTGCTGGTAAGCTCTCTCTCTAGGGGGCCAGTGTTTAGTCCTGTACTTAATTATTACCCAACAGAAAATTTACTTGTTTAATTTTCCCTTGAACTCACAAGTTTTCAGGGGAACTCCTAAGTCAAATGCACAGAAAGCCACTTTACTAATAAATATTAATACAAAGTTGTTCTCCATTATTTGAGAATTATAGGAATTAAAAATATCTAAACCAGATTACCACATTGCTGAAGGAGGTGAAATGGTGAAACATGAATGTGAATACTGTATGGTCCAGCCACTGTTCCCCTGCTTTATGGTGATGCACATCTTATTCTGGTGGATAATGTATACATGGATGCTACTGGCAAATAAGAAATGTGACTGGCTTGGTGCTAACTGAGTTTTTTAGAATGAGCTAGAAATGCATGCATTTTACCTGAGAGTAAAATGATGTCAAGTAACTTGACTATTCTTCAAGGTTTTTTTCTTTTGCAGGGTGTGAGGAATGTAATAATGCCCATTCTTCAGTGTGCCCCAAGCATGGCCCCTTGCATCCCATCCCCAATCGGCCTGTGCTCACTCGGGCAAGAGCGAGTCTCCCCCTGGTCCTCTACATAGACAGGTTCCTTGGAGGAGTGTTTTCAAAAAGGCGCATTCCCAAGCGTACCCAGTTTGGCCCTGTGGAGGGACCCCTTGTCAGGGGGTCTGAACTGAAAGACTGTTATATTCATCTAAAGGTAATTTATACTTTTTCCTATTTCACTCCTTTCTTTAACAGTTTTTCAAGGGGCATTCATTTCTTTTGTTGAGTTTTTTGTTTTCATTTCATAACAGTCATTTGCTAGTATTTTTCTTTTTATGCTTAATTTTAAATGGAAACATTACTCCCCGCCCCAATAAAATGGAGGTCATAATTTTAGACCCCTGTGAATAATTCTGAGAAGTGTGGTTTTTAGGGTCTGTAGTAATATGCTAGAATTGACATAATAAAATGCTGTAGACTGGGAGGCTTCAGCAATGGAAATTTCTTTTTTCACAGCTCTGGAGTTAGAAATCTAACATTAATGTGTTGGCAGGTTTCTCCTTGACCTGCACATGACCGTCTTCTTACTGTGCACTTACAGGGTCTTTCCTCTGTACTTATGTGCGTCTTTTCTAATCTCCTCTTATTAAATGGACCAGTCATATTAGATTAGGGTGTACCCTAATTATGTTTTGTTCACTTCATTACCTCTTTAAAGGTTCTATCTCCAAATGCAGTCACATTCTGAAGTACTGGGGGTTTACAGGGTCCCCACATGACTTAGAGGTTGAGGGACACAAAATTCAACACAAAACAGAGAAATTGGTGTTTTTTTTTCCTTTCTTTTTTTAAAATGAACTTTGGAATGTGGCTGGGCATGGTAGTATACACATGTGATCCCAGCAACTAGGGAAGCTGAGGCAGGAGGATCTCAAGTTGGAGGATAGACTGGGCAACTTAGCAAAATCCTGCCTCAAACTAATAAATATAAAAAAGCGTGCTGAGATATAGCTCAGTGTTATAGTGCCCCTGGGTTCAATCTCTGGTACCACAAACAAAGGAAAACAAAAACAAAATACTTTGGATACTTTTTTTTTTTTTTTTGATGCTGGGGATGGAACCCAGGCCCTGTGCATGCAAGGTAAGTACTCTATCAACTGAGCGATATCCCCAGCCCCAAAACACAGTACTTTGGAATACAGAAAATTACAATGATGTATGTAATCTGCTGTGTGCCATTAATGTTTGCAAAACACCCTACTTTTCAATATTAAAACAGGTTCGATTTGAATTTTTTCTGTTAAATAATTGTTCACTGGGGCTAGGCTGTTACTCAGTAGTAGGGCTCTTACCTAGCATGTGCAAAACCCTGGGTTTGATCCCCAGCACTGCAAAAACAAAAACAAAAAACAAACAAGAAACCTACCCCCAAACAACAAAAAATAAGTTTGCTGTATGTTGAAGAATATTTATTTTGATCTGCATTCTTTACTTTTAATGATTTTGCTTCTATCCAACCCTCTTTACTATCTGCTGTTTTGAATAGCTACTCTGAAGCACTAAGAAAGGGCAGTAAGAAGGGGAGAATATCTGAAATGTATTTTGGAGAAATTAGCTGCTGTTGTAGGGGGGATTTCTTTTAAACTAATGCTCAAGATCTCCAAGCAAGAATATTACCTGTCTTTGGGCTGAATATTATAAATGGATACAGTTGAATCTCCAAAGGATGCAAATTATAATGAAGTGGAGAGTATTATGCTTGATTTTTATTTACAGCATTTTTGGTTGTGCTAGTTTTGTGAGATATTAACTAAAGCTATATAGTTTTATGGTGAACTTTTAGATTTTGCCATGTAATTCTCCTATAGGTAAGAGTGGTTTCAGGAAGTATCCTTTCTTTCTCTTTATGTTTGGTAAGTCACAATTCTAGTATCTTTCTAGATACAAAGGGAAGATATATGGTTAATTTAAGGAGAAATATTTTGTATATTATTGCTAATAGTATATTGAAGGTTTTGTTTTTTTTGTGTGGGTCTTTACCTTTTCTTTGGTTGCAGGTTTCTCTTGATAAAGGGGACAGAAAAGACAGGGATTTGCATGAAGACCTATGGTTTGAGTTGTCTGATGAGACCCTCTGTAACTGGATGATGTTTGTACGTCCAGCCCAAAACCACCTGGAGCAGAACCTGGTGGCTTACCAGTATGGCCACCATGTATATTATACAACGATAAAGAATGTGGAACCCAAGCAGGAACTGAAGGTATAGTGCTGGATCTGGAGGGCTCTCTGCTAAAAAAGAACATATCCTAATTTTTTCCTTCTAGTAAGTATGATACTTACTAAAATGGTTCTTTACTGGTAATTTATTTACCTCTGGAGCCATCCCTAGGGGAAATTGGTTCTGGGATTCCCCTAAGATCCTTATGTAAAATGGTGTAATATTTGCATAAAACTTATGCATTCTCCCATGTATTTTAAATTATTTCTAGATTATTTATAGTACCTAATAAAATATAAGTGCTATATAAATGTTTTTATACTGTATTGTTTAGGGACTAATGACAAGAAAAACTCTGTATATTAAGTACAGATGTAATTTTTTTGGACAGTATTTTCGATTAGCAGTTGAGGGAATCCATGGATATAGAGGACTGACTGTACTATGTACTACAGATTGGTAATAATCTTGTAAATAAAACAATGAGAAGTAGATGGGCTCTGTTCTCATCAAGAGCCTACAGAAAGACATTAGGTCCGGGGATAAGAAAGTGATTGTATGGGGAGCTGACTGATATTTGTGAGGGGGTAATTAAAGATAGTATCACTTAATGTCATTTATACATAACTAAAGAAGAATTTGTTGTGAAATGTGGGATTTTATAAAATAAAATTCAGATGGATGGGCAAGATTCCTTTTCTTTATCTGAATACTTCATTTTATTCAAATAATTCTTTGACTTCTGATTTCAGAAATATGTATTTTTGGGGTAACCCTGTTAGAATTTGTCTAAATATTGACTTTTGATGACATAATGAAATTTTGGTATGATTCCAAAAGAAAAAAAAATTTTTTTTTTCTTTTCTATGCTACTAGGAATAGAACCCAGGGCTTTACACATTAGGCAAGTGCTTGATCAATAAGCAACTCTTCCTGCCCAAGATTCCTTCCTTCCTTCTTTAGCATATATTAGGAACATGGACAAAAGAGGGGGGCCAAAGTACTCTTTAACTTCCTGAGGTAAATAACAAAATAGATGAAAAATGATTATATCAGTACATGAACACTGAATTGCATAGTGTGTCAATGTTAGAAACTGATTGCTCCTCTTTAGTGGGAGAACAAAGTCCTGGATTTTATTCAAAAGGTGCAAAACCTCTGTCTTGGAAACCATCAGCTAGATAATCCACCAGCCATGAAGAAAATATGTAAAAAGAATGTCAAAGGAGATTAACATCTCATGCCATCTATTCCAGTGCTGCACAACTGAACTAACTTACTCTAGCTCTGTTTTCTCTTGTAAAAAAGTAAGTGTAACTGTAGAGGTTAAGATGAATAGAAATAATTAAATAGGAATTTAATAGTTGAGTATAATAAAACAACCAAAACAACAGATAGAAGGAATGAGAAAATGGGGAAGTATTTGTAATACAGGGTAAAAGATTTTAAGTATGTTGACTGAGACAAAGAGTTGTATACCTTCAACTTAACTACATCCAGATGGACAAATGAACAAATACCAAGAATAGACTCTATTTAAAAAGGGAAAAGAAATGTTAAAAAAAAAATTAACCCTTAATCCAGGTGTGGTGGTGCATGCCTGTAATCCTAGTGACTTAAGAAGCTGAGGCAGGAGGACTGAAAGTTTGAGATAAGCCTGGGCAACATAATGAGATTCTATTTCAAAATAATAAGGAAAGATGCTGGAAATGTAGCTTAGTGGTAAAGTTCATTCCCCAATAGAGCATGAGGGTTTGGTGCAGCTGGGGTTATAGCTCAAAGGTAGAGTGAGCATGTATGAGACCCTGGGTTCCATATCCAGAATGGACAAAAGAGAAAAGAAAAAAAATGTCCCCAATTAAACTATTTTTAAATGCTTAAACTTTAATTTATCTATATGTGTGTGTGTATTTAAAACTAAAATGATTTATAATGTAGAACATGAAGACGACAGTTTGCAAATTCATCATCACTTAAAGGAAATCAATGTGCTAAGCTTTGAGAAATGAGATGTTCCAAAATATACACCAAAAATTTAAAAACGGAATTATATTAAAACATGAAATGTTATCTAATGTAATGCAGATCAGGGGATCAAAGATGAAGGTCACACATTATTAAAAAGAAATCCAACCAAGGACAGCTGTGTCATGATCTCTCATTAGTGTCACAACAGTGCCTCTCTTTTGGTGGACTTGAACATTTTGGCAGACATTCAATCAGCTTTAAAAAACAAAACAAAACAAAACAAAACAAAAAAACGGTCTTTACATGGCTTCTATTGTTCTTCCCACCATCTTCCAGCTTGTTTTCTACTGCTATTTCTCTCAGCCGTATTCTCCTTTTGTTCATAATGGGGATCCCAAGCACCCAGAATTGGCCTTATACCCACTGCTGCTGGTCCAGCCACTCTCCCTGCCTGCATTTTTTAAATTGATAACATGGTTACTTTATACTTATCAAAAGAGCTATTTTAGATTTAATTGGAAATAATTTTTAAATCATATCATCCTTGTGCATGCATGAAAATGCATACTTAGGTAAAAAGTTAAGATATAAAACTGCTTTTTATGCATTGTCACTTTTTCCCCTTTCAATCACTGGTTTACATCATGATGTCTGTGATTTTGGGGGGCAGTACTGGGGATTGAACTCCAGGCTTCTTGCATCTGAGGTAAATGCTCTTCCACTGACCTACCTCCTCAGCCCTTTTTGTATTTTTATTTTGAAACAAGGTCTCACTAAGTCACATAGGCTAGCCTCAAACTTGTAATCCTCCTAAGTACCTGGGATTATAAGTATAGGCCTCATGTTTTTGCTTTTCTGTCTTCTGCCATCTTCTGTTCCATTAAGATGATATTGATGATATATTTTGTGTGTGTGTGTGGTACTTATGCATGCTGTGAAAATACTCTACCCCTGAGCCACATCCCCAGTCCTTATTATTGTTATATGTGATTTTCCAGTCCTTGATATTGTTATATGTATATTTACATATATATATTTTGCGCCTGGGATCAAACCCAGGACCTCACATGCGGTAGGATTTTGTTCTACTACTGAGCCATATCCCAACTCCTCACAATGTTTTAAAAATAAGTAGTCCAGGGCAGGGGACGTTGCTCAGTAGTAGAGTGCTTACCTAGCATGTGTCAGGCACTGGGTTCAATCCTCAGCACCACATCAAAATAAAAAAAATAAAGGTAGTAAAAAAAATAAATATTCCACCATTGCCTCTGGGATCTTGTTCCATACCACGTAACTTTTTGTATGCATGGTGGTTGGAATTGGGCCTGACACTTGTGCTGTGCCACTGAGCCATACCCCTATCAAGTTTGAATATTGTGCTTTCACATTCATTTTAATTCATCTGTGTCTTTTTCCTAAATTGAATCACGGGTCCTTGGAAGCGAAGTGTTTTTTGATCAAGTCAGTAGGAAGTTTCTGACAGTTCTGACTGAAGCCTTAATGAGAGGCCTGTAGAATGCTAACCAGTCTCTTAACCACTTTGAAATTTTTTCTTATTCTGAGGGAAATGGCAGTTTTTTTGGCCTTCATTTGCAGTGCTTGGCAGGTGTCAACAAGTCATAGAACCCAATGGGGGCTTATAACTGAATGAGGTAAGAACAGTACAGAGAGCTGGGCCAGACTTGTGCAGGAGTGTTGTGCAGGTTCTGAGTGCTGCATCATGGCAGCAATTGTAGGGTGCCAGCCAGAATGGGAGATGCTTTCTGATTTCTGAGATGTTAAATATGAAAAAAGGTACATCTTGGAATTGATGGATTAGTGTGTGTTTGTAATAGCAAAATATAAACCACCTAAAAGTACAACCATAGGGGCACAGTTGAGTCAATTATGGAATACAGATTCTACATAATATTACTCCACCATTCAAAATGAAGTCTGCCTTTATAAATATTCCCTTATATTTAAATTAATGTTCTATAAAAGTTACATATGATTAAGTCATTTAGTGATTAATAAGTTGAAATCCTACTGTGTTTCAGACAGTAGGAAAAAAACAAGCTTGTTTCCCTGTGTTCAGGGAACTTGCATTCTAGGGGGGAAGTGGACGGAAAGATGTAAACAAACAAATAATATCCAATAGGAGTTAAGTTTCATGGTGCAGAAAGAGCAAATAACGGGAAAGGGACCAATTTAGATGTGCTTCATAGAAAAAGCCTTGCTTAAGAGGTGATAGGCTGAGGACTGGGAATGAGAAGAGAGCAGTCCTGCAGAGGGTTATAAGAAGAGCAAAGGAGAAGAACCTTGCACTCCAGGGGGTGAGCCAACAAGGGCAAAGGCTTGGATGGGAAGGCACTGGGCATGTTTGAGTTGCTGAGTGTAGGCCATCTTGGCCTAAAGGTGGGCAAAGTGATAGGAGCTGAGGTTTCTTAGTAAGATAGAGGAGATGATGGAGCCCTTGGAGGATTATCATGTACATTTCAGGTTTATTATGAAATAAGCTATTTCTGGTAAAACAAATTCAATTGTGTTTTAAGAAGACAATTATTTTAAGAAGACTTTGGCTCCTGTGTGGATTGCAAGGAAAAAGGGAGGCTAGTTTGAAGGCAAGAGATGGTGGTGGCATGCCTCCAGGTGGAAGAAGCAGAGATGGAGAACACCTGAGGAAGTGACAGTTCTACTGAAGGATTACAGAAGCAAATGGAGAAACCAAAGATACCTTTTAGGTTTTAAGTCTGAGCACTTGGGGGGAAGGTGAGGCAATTGAAATGAGAAGATAGGTAGAAGTGGAGTTGGGAAGCATCAAGAATTCCATTCTGGGCATGTTAAATTTAAGCTGTTTGTGAAATATCCCAAATATCAGATCAGAAATAGAATACACTTGGAGTGATCAGAGAAGGGGCATCTGGGATGAAGATATTAATTTGGGAATCATTAGTATAGAGTGGTTAGAAATTGATGTGATCAGTGGAGGGAAAAATAAGAAGGCTCAGGACTTGAATTAAGCTTTGAGGAGCACTAATATTGGGAGGTTAGGTGGAAGAGGAGCCAGCTAAGGTGAGTGAGCAAAAGCAGCCATTGGGGTAGGAGAGAAACAGCTATCATTGGTGTAGGAGAGAAGAGCCCTGGGAGAATGTGGAAGTGTTTGGTACAGTCCCATTTGTGATCACAGTGTGAGCTATTTGGTGGCAGCTACTATGATTGCAGCTGTATTCAAATCTGTGTTTAAATATAGCTTTATTATTACTATTATTTTACAAATCAGAAGAGGCTGTTTTATCTAGATGAAGAGACTATGAATAAAGTTTTTATGGAGTTATTCTAATTTAAAAAAAAACACAAAATTTTTAAAAAGGGAAAAAAAAAACAGGCAATGTGTCTTGGGGAGCCAGGTTCACAGTGTGATTTTTTTTTTTTTTAATGGGCTGTGAAAAAGCCTGAATTGTTTCATTTAACAGGAGAAATAATGTAAGCATGCAAAGCACATCGGGTGATGTTTCTTAATTCTTGATGTCCTTGGTTCTTGCAGGTGTGGTATGCTGCATCCTATGCTGAGTTTGTGAACCAGAAAATTCATGACATTTCTGAGGAAGAAAGAAAAGGTGGTTGGACTTTTTATATTGTATATTTTCTACATGAATTCTAAGTTGTATATGTTACATCTTCATGCAACCTCTAATTTTTTCATTTCAGTGTATTTCAGAAGATATTCCAGGTTCTTAGAGCTACACACCTCCATCTAACTGTAGGATCAAAATTACAATGACATATTTACATTTCTTTCATGGGTGCTAGAAAATAGTATTTAATATAATTAAAACCTGCAAATACTAAATTAGAACCTAGATCAGAGGACAATTCTTATCTGGACTTGAACATCTTTGAGGATATGGTAAAGCAGGCATTCACTTTATCTTTAATGTAAATATTAACTGAAATGCCATCTCTGTATAAAAAGGTGAACAAATTATTATGTATACTGCTTGATGAATTTTTACAGTGAACACATGTAAGTTCCCAAATGTGATTACTCTCTGTGTAAGTTCCCAAATGTGATTACTCTCCTGACTTTCAATACCACACATAAGATTTACTTGTTATTGAATTGCACATAAATAGAATGATATATACACTTTTTGTGTCTGGGCATCTTACTCAGTATTGTGAGGTTCATCCATATTATTGGATATGATTGCAATTTATTCATTTTTTTGTTGTTTGGTATTCTGTTATATAAATGTATAACCATTTATTTATCTATTATGCTGTAGATTTGATTGTACAATGCAATTATTGTAGTAACTACCCAGAATTAGGTCAAATTTCACAGGTTAAGGGCACAGTTTTCATTAAGAGTCCCCTCGCTTCAGATATCAGATGCAAGCTCCGTGGTTCCCAACCTACCTATACTACTAGCTATAATTTAGGGAGCTCTCTATTGCTCTTCAGATTTGATAATTAACTAGAATGACTCAATAGAACCTAGGAAAACACTTTATTTAATGATCACAGTTTTTTATAAAGGATATATATATATCAGGATTAGCCAAATGAAGAGAAGTAGGGTGAGGTCTAGGAGGGTCCCCAATGAAGCTTCTGTGTCCACTCAGGATATATCATTCTCCTGGCACATTGATGTATCATTGCCAATCATAGAAACTCATTTAAGCTTTGCCGTTCAGAGTTTTTATTGAGGCATTATTATATAGGCATGACTGAATTAGTGGTCATGTGATTGGACTCAATTTCTAGCTCTCATTCTCCTTTGGGAGGTAGGGCTGGTATTAACTGTTTCAAAGCACCAACCCTTTTGTGTGTGTGTGTGTGTGGTACTGGGGATTGAAGTCAGGGGTGCTCTACCACTGCGCTCTATCCCAGTCCTTTTTATTTTTTATTTTGAGACAAGGTCTCATTGAGTTGCTCAGACTGGCCTTGAACTTGTGATTTTCTCTTCTTAGCCTCTAAAGTGGTTGGGATTACAGGTGTGTGCTAAGCACCTGGCAAAGCACCAACTTAATCACAAGGTTGAACTTTCTGACACTGCTACCCCTGACTCTGAGTCATCTCCTTAGCATAAACTCAGGTAGGATGAGGGGCCATAATGATAACAAAGGCACTTCTGTCACTCAGGAAATTCCAGCTACTAAGAGCTTTCCTCCCAGGAGCCAGAGACTAAGGTTGGCCAGATTCTTTATCTTATATCAGGATTGTTCGTAGTTTTGGGCTGTTTAAAAAGTGCCTGCTCTGACTGTTTTTGTACATCTTTGGTGAACACGTGTGCATATTTCCTTTAGGTGTACATCTAGGGGTGGAATTACAGGGTCCTATGTTATGCATATATTCAGCTTTAGGAGTTACTTCCAAACATTTTACTGAAGTCATTATATTGGGCTTTGATTTTTAAGTTATTTGTGATAAAATATACCCTTAAATTATGAGACTTGGGCGGGACATAGTGGTGCATACTTGTATTTCTGGTGACTCAGAAAGCTGGGGCAGGAGAATCGAACCTTTAAATCTAGCCATCCTGGGCAATTTAGCAAGACCCTCAGCATTGAAAATGAAAATAAAAAGTGCTAGAATATAGGTTAGTGGTAAAACTTGCCCCTGGATTCAATCTCCAGTACCATAAAAGAAAAGGAATATTATGAAACTTGGATCTGAATCACTGGATTATCTAAATACAGATCTCCTTACAGTGCTTTCTCTCTTTCTGGGTGAAGGGTGTGTGTATGTAGAGTGGTGTGAGTGTGTTGTTCCTTTGATGTCCTGCATGAATGTGTCAGAAAATAAGAGCCTATAACTCACCTCTGTGCCAAATTCTAGTCTTTGATTTTATAACAAGAAAGTCATACAAATAGCAGATACTGTCTGCAGGAAGATAAGAATGGCAGAGATAACAGGCATCTGAGTTTTCCTGGTGTCTGTTGATCATCAGCTTTCATGATTTCTCTCCTGTGACTGTAGTTCTTCGAGAGCAAGAGAAGAATTGGCCCTGCTATGAATGTAACCGCCGGTTTATAAGCTCAGAGCAATTGCAGCAGCATCTCAATTCTCATGATGAGAAACTGGATGTGTTTAGCAGGTATGTATGAGGACAAAGGCTCACAAATCAGGTTTGGAATCATTTTTGTACATAGACTAATGAGTGTGTATGCTTACACAAGTAACCAGTTAGGTAGCTATCGAGGATTGTCTTTCATAACTAACCCCTTCCTTATTTACTATTTATTGCTTTTCTAGCATATCCAATACCCAACAATGGAAAATCCCCTTATTTCAGTTAAGTCTCCCTTAACTAGAGATTATGAAATAGGAATCCTTCAGATAGCATTTAAACATCAGGGTGAGGGCATATTGGAGTAAGAGTAAAGACCCAGAGTTCAGTCAGAACTATTGCAACAGTTCAGGTGAGGAAAGAGTGTTCTTTAGATTAGATGGGACAGATGTAGGATTGTCCACTTAAAGGATTTGGAAAGATACAAGATGGTGTGAAACCTCACTTAGGAAAGTGGGAAAGAGAATATTCTAGGGAAGTACTGTACAGTTGCCTGCAACACTGAATGTCCATATGAGGTTCACAGTCATAAAATGAGAGACTACAAGCAAGACTGTATGTTGTTTTCGAGCCCCATCCAGCTGCTGCAGTGCAGGCAGGGAACTGGGTTACAAAAAAATGTGGTTTTGCTGAGAGCATTCAACACAGTGACAACAAAGAAGCAGCAACTGGGATGGGGATCAGAAAAAATACAAGGTATTGATTGCAGTGAATGACCTTGGAGGTGTGCTATGGACAAAGGAAGGATTGGACTGGGGGATAATGGGGGTGGAAGGGTTATTGAAATTGGGTATTGGAGAGAGTGAGCTAGAGAGGTAGGAGATAGTGTGTCAGAATGGGCCTTTGTGGAAACAGGGGCAGTGGGATTATATTGAGGATGACAGGTCTGAGATATGACCTTGGGGATAAATATCTGAAGGTGATGGATGCAATGAGATTCAAGATATTTACTCCTAGGTTTTCCCACTTTTCATAGTTCTATTGTATCATTTTTTATATTATATTAGGATTTTTGACTTACAGGCCTGCTGCCTCTGCTAAATTCTGAGGATAAGATCACCTTTAACTTGATATCTTTAGTGCCAAGCATAGTGTATGACACATAGTAAAGCATTCACTATCTATCTGATAAAAGAAATTTGAGACAAATGAGGAAAATCTGAATTTTGACTAGATATAATAATATTGAGCAACTACCTGATTTTTTTTTAGGTGTGATAATGGTATTGTGTGTGTAGAATTTTCCATACTTAAGAGTGAGTAGAGAGCATGTGCCTGTAGTTCTTGCTACCTGGCAGACTAAGGCAGGAATTTGAGCTCAGGAATTTGAGACTAGCCTGGGCAACATTGCAAAAAAAAAAAAAAGAAAAGAAAAATTTTGTTAAATAGCTATGTAGAAGAGTTTGATATGATGGATATTCACAAAATATCTAAAAGACGTTTTGTGATGTACTTTTGAAATATCTTAATAAGGAATTTTTGTATGTTAGTCATTCATTAAAGGAGGTAAAATTTATTCAGTATCTTAGCCAAACTGTGGAACCAAAGTAGGTGTTCATCAATGGATGAATGGATAAAGAAAATGGGTATATGTACACAATGGAGTTTTATTCAGCCATAAAGAATAATGAAATTGTTAGTTGCAGGAAAAAGGATGAAACTTGAGAACATTATGTTTAGCAAAATAAACCAAACTTAGAAGGTCAAGGGTCATATACTTTCTCTCATGTGGAAGCTGAAGATGAAAAAGGAAAGGTGGGAGGGATCTCATGAAAATGGAAAGGCAATCAGTAGGGGGAAGGGACCAAGGAAAGGAAGGATAGGAGGGAAAGGGGAAATACTAGAGAATGATATTGGCCAAATTATATTATATTGTGTGCGTGAATGAATATGTCACAACAGATCCCACCATTATATGCAACTATAATGCATTAATTTTAAAAAATGTGGAAACAAAAGGGTTGTGCCAGTTACAATGTCAACAGCAAGATAAAATAAAATAAAACAATTTGGTGTTTGGAATAGTTGAATTAGAAATTTGTACTAACCCTCCTGAAGATTTTGGTAAAATACTTTGCATTTAGCCACATTTTGTAGAAGAAATCTTGAACTGAGGTTAAGAGAGGAAGGCTGGAATCTTGTCTAAGATAACATGTCCTCAAAACACACTAGGCTTAGCATGTTCTGTCTGCATTTCTCACCTCCTTTCAGAAGCAAAATGTTGTCAGCACTTTGTGTTTACATAGCTCTTTTTTTCCCCCCAGAATAATTTGAAGACACCTCTTTGTGCTTTAGAGAGGGCAAAGATAAGAACTTTAGAAAGTGTTTCCATTAGAGAAAAGAATCAGGGAAATTAATCAAGTGAGGGGAACTCAAAATCTGGGGTTACTACAGACCATTTAGGGAAACATTTTATGGAGTATGGTGTAACTATAACTATCCGTAACCCAATCTTTTGTCCCCAGAACAAGAGGCAGAGGGAGGGGACGAGGCAAGAGACGATTTGGTCCAGGTCGAAGGCCAGGGCGTCCTCCAAAATTTATCCGCTTGGAAATAACCAGTGAAAATGGAGAGAAAAGTGATGATGGGACACAGGTACTGGGAATTGGGAAAGAACTCCTTCTTAGATGCTTGTTTAGATAACTTTCAGAACTCTGGCTGGATTTCAACATAAGCACCTTTCAGATGTTAATAGTCCTGTCAAAGAATCAGAGCTTTGCTGCTTGTTAACTTAAGTGGGATTGGAGAAGGGCAGAAAGCATGTATTTTCAAGTGTTATTCACAATTATTCACAGTTATTCAAAAAGTCAACTTTGCTGCCCCCCCAAATTTGAAATTGGCCAGAGATATTAAAGAGGCAATTTTGTTTTATTAATTTAAACCATTACAAAATTTGATATTTGTGAAGGTTCATATCATGATCTTCCCCATTCAGTGGTCTGAAATATCTTGTGATTTTTGTATTTTGTGTGTATTTAATTAATTTTCCTGGAAGGAGAGTATTTTTTTTTCTCTGAGTATTATGAATCTGGTCATTTAAAAATAAGCAATAGCTGGGCACAGTGGCTAGCTACTTGAGAGGCTGAGTGGGGAGGATCACATGAGTACAGGATTTCCGGCCCTGCCCAGGTAATATAGCAAGCCGCTGTCTCTTAAGAAAAATTTTTTAAAAAGCAGCAATTCTAAATCTGAGCCGGTAGTCCTTCTAGCACTGATCTCTATCTAGGTAAGTATATAATTCTTGGTTATTGCAATTTCAGGACTTGCTACATTTTCCCACAAAGGAGCAGTTTGATGAGGCTGAACCAGCTACTCTGAATGGGCTGGATCAACCAGAACAGACCACTATCCCAATCCCTCAGCTGCCACAGGAAACTAGGTCGTCTCTGGAACAAGAACCAGAAACTCACACCCTTCACCTACAGCCACAGCATGAAGAGAGCGTGGTACCCACCCAGAGCACTTTGACCGCAGATGACATGCGCAGGGCCAAACGCATCCGAGTAAGTGGGATGTTCATTCTTACAGCTGGTCTCCTTTTCCCCCTCAACGCTTGGTGTTCCAGCCTGTTCACCATCCACTTTGAAATCTTGTATCTAGCCTATCACATACTTGCAAGAAAGTTCTCTCTCTTAATGTTTCTGTATCCTATGGCAGGCTGGCATGGCTGGTCCTAGATTTTATCAGCCTGGATTTTGGCAGCTCCTGGATTAGTATAGTGAAAATAAGATAGCTCTTCACATCTCAAAGTTCATAGATCAGAAATGGAGAAATAAGTATACTTAATTATAATTATTATATATATTTTTCTTTTATTTCTTTTTGGTGCTAGGGATGGAACCTAGGGCTTCCTGCATGCTAGGCAAGCACTATTCCACTGAGCTACATCCCTAGCCCTAATTATTTATGTTAATTATTTTAAGCCAGGCTTGTCTGTTTCTAATCATAGCTCTCAAGTTAATTGTGGGTAACTAAAGTTGGTTATCTACTATTTCCAAGGGGAGACTGGCAAGTGTCACTACTATTTGTCAATGCAAAGGGAACTGTGTCCAAGTTGATATGACAGGTATAGTCCACACACTTGGGACAGCATGAAGTAAAGTTGTATGTCAGGAGCTAACTAACATCTCACTTATGTGACCTGTGTCTTGGCCTTAGATCATGAGACTACAGGGCTTCCATGATTTCCAGTTAAGATGTGTTTCTCTTACTATTTCACAGTCAGCATTTGAGTCTCAGTAACTGCAGGGATTGCATTGTAGAAAACAGTATGGTTTTGTGTGATGTCTATGCAGACAAAAAGCAATAACATAAAACCCATGTTTGTGGCCAGCTGAAGACTTTGATTTGTACTTGACATTAGATGAAAAAGATTTTTTACACAACTTCCCAGGCTTTACAAATTTTAAATGGATGATTGGTTTAGATTATGTTTCTTTTGGTCTTCTTCTTTTTTTAAAAAGATGATAAGTTAGACTGTATTCAGAGGGTCCATGGTAGTAGGTACAGATAACATTGCGAAGGGATCTTGCTGTGGGTAAGAGAAATTGGGTTCAGCTACCTCTTTTGGTTTTCTTATTTGCCTATAGGCTAGAAGGGACCTTGAAAAATAGTCCAGGCCTTCATGTAAAAATACTTTTAAACGTTCATAGGTACATGACAGCTTTGAGGGGCTCTTAAGAACTCTTTATTTCAGTACCCTTTATGAGGGTCCTATAAACTGAAACACATACAACTGTGGCTCAGTGTGTACTACTTCAAAAGGATCGATAAACATGTAAATATAGGCCAGAAAAACAACAAACTATGAATATCTTCTCTTCCATTGTTCTACTTTATTTCCCAATCTTCACTTTTTTCTCTTTTCAATTACTATTTTTTCTGCTTTGGCTATTCTGATATTTTACTAAGTCCAGAGAAATGCTTGCTAGATTTTATTTTATTTTTTCTTTGAAAGAAAAGACTTTAAGCTTACACATGTAGTGAAGCTGTAGATGTATAAGCATAGTCTGTTCTGTACTTGTTCTTGAAAAAGTTGGGGTACTGGTTTTGTATAAGTTTCCTTGTGTCATAACAAAAGCCACAGGCATGTGGCTTTTAGAAGTCAGTCTTAGTTGACCTATCTTGTTTTTTCCTCTTACATATTCTAAAAAGCAGGGCTATGTATTTTTTCATCTTTTTTATCCAGATTGGTAATGACCAACTAAAGGGAAGTCTTCCAATCCAATTGGTAATGTAACTATTTTTCTCTCCTCTAATGCTGCCTGCTCAGTTGGAGCTGCAGGTAGGTTTGTTTCCTGTGTTTCACATAACAGAATGTTATTTAAGTGTTTGCCTGACCTGCTGTTCATTGCAACCTTTATTTACTAAATCCTGATGAAAAGCACTATTTGGTTGCTCCAATAAATGCATATTAATGAATAATTATAATTCATTTGCAAATAGATTAATGAGTAAATTATGGGCTGCATATTCTTCCTATATGAAATGGAGGTTAGGACTAAGTGATCTCCAAGGTCCCTTCCAGCTCTAAAATAATTTGAATTACTTATGGAGTGGTACTGAGTTCTAACTGTCTAGGTATCTGACAGAACTTTCCCTTGAGCTCTGTATCTAGGAGCTGACAGTCTAAAAATAGCATTAGATTGTTTACAGTTATATGTGAAATGTAAAAGTACAGCTTATAATTGCTCTAGGAACTTGGAGGAGTGAAAGACTAAAGAAAGGTGGAGGAGGCAGGGAATAATTAATAAATGAGGGGAGACATAGACTGAGTCCTTGAAACAGAGGGTCTCTTCCAGAAGGTAAATCATCCCAGAGGAGGGGAGCCATCAAATTAGAATCCCAGACATAGGGATGTGCTTGGTGTAGTTATAGGACAATGCAAACAGTAGCTTGACCCTAGAGTAGGTGGTAAGTGAAGGATAGTGGAGAATGAGGTATATTCAGCAAGTGTAGTCCACCAAAGGCTTTAAAATCCAAAAATAGTCCAAGGAAAAGTTGTTAAAAACAAACAACCAAGAAACAAGCATGATGATTTTATTTCTTTTTAGGCTCAGGATTAAAATAGTACAAAAATTGGTCAATAATGTAGATTCCTTTAGCTTTTTTTGTTTGTTTCTGGAAATTGAACCTAGGGGTGCTTACCAACTGAGCCACATCCATAGCTGTCCCCTCTTTTTTGGGGGGTGCTGGGGATTGAACCCAGATCCTTGTGCATGTGAGGCAAGCACTCTACCAACTGAGCTATATCCTCAGCACCTAGCCCTTTTTTTAAAAAAAATTTTTGAGACAGGGTCTCACTAAGTTGCTGATGGCTTCACTAAATTGTTGAGATTGGCTTTGAACTTGTAATCTTCCTGCCTCAGCCTCTGGAACCACTGGAATTACAGGGCTGTGCCACCATACCAGACACTCCATTAGCTATTAATATCAAACTTTAGGAACATTTTAGAAACAAAGAATCTTGTATCAGAATTCATTGCAATGTGATTCACAGAACTTAACAAAAATAGTGTTTTGGCATCCTTAGAGCAGCAGATGTGCTATACATTGTGATGTGGTTGACTGACAGGTGCTCAGGGATCAGAAGATCCTGATACGTCTATGTGCTGCCTCTTCAGTTGCCATGATTTCTTCTAGAAAGTGGACCAGTTGTGGCTCAATACTATAGAAGTTACCTTAGAGCAGAGCTGGCCTGCAAGTGGGTCAAAGGATGGGAAATGTTTCAGCACTTTTACTACCTTGTAATATGGGGATCACATAAGTATCATTAGCTCAGAGAAATACAGGCTAGTTCTTGAGTATTTAGACAGTGTTCTGGGCTCCATGGAAATCAAAGGGATGATAAGAGTTGTCAATAGAGCTAAGGAAGTGGAGTCAAGAGGCTGCTCAGTTTAAATCAAGTGTCTGAAGGTATTCATGCTAATCAGAAATGACAGAAGACTGATTAGCATAATGGACCAAAGCAAAACTTAGCTCTGGATTTGGCACCCAAGGAGAAATGGAATCCTCAGTGGGATCATTGTCAACTGTTGTGCATTGTGTCTGTCCTTGGAAACTTGACCAAAGTTGGATAAAGGAAATTATTCTTCCATGGCAGACATGCTCTAAATTTTGAATCTTCTCTCAACCTAAGAATAGCATCTGCTTTATATGGCATCTTTCCATAAAGCTTTGAAAGTAGAGAAAATAGTAAGAAAATGTAAAAATGTGTCCAGATAGAGTAAAAAGATGAGGTGACAGCTAAGCATTATGAGGAAGTGAAAGCAAACTCTGTGGCTGATTTGAAAAGGTCTGTTTGTAAAGATCTTCATGAATACTGTAGAAAAAAACTATAAATAATTTTTTGAGTTTTATTTGAAATATATTTTATTAATTTTCAAACTACTATTGGATGTATCCTATGAGCTAAGCTAATCCTTTAATAAATGAATAAAATATGATGTCCTCCTCCTCCCCTTAGCAGCCCCAGTCTGCTTGGAAAGACAGCAGAATTGCTATTTACCTACTCAAGATAAATGAGTAGGTAGCATCTTTAAACATCTCTCCTAACCCTATTAGAGAAAGCTAGAGAAGGCAATTTTCTGTTATATGGAATGAAGTATGTTCAGAAGTTTTAATAAATTAAATATAAATATTTTGCTTTCCTCCCAAATGATTATTTCACATTAATGTAGAAGTTGCTGATAAGTAATTAAGAGTTAAAGTAGTGTTCACTGTAATTTCTTCATAGCACAAAGATCTCATTAATCCTTCAATTACTACTCCTTTATAGCTAACAGACATACTCACTCAACAGGTGTACTTTTTGAGGGATTTTTCTCCCTTATAGCTATCTACAGCTTTCCATTAGTGTTTTTGAGGAACTTATGAATGAGTCTTCATAATAGCACAACTAAATATTCTGTATTCTCTGTGTGGAAGATGATTCTGTAGATCTGCTCCCAGTGGAGCATGGATGTTTCTCTAGCAATCGTGATGGATTTGCTCTGAATATCCATCTTCTCTTATTTGAATCCCCTGTAACAACTGCATGAGTTTACAAGTTTACTTTTAATGCTAATCATCATTAGAAGTGCAATCTGTGACTGCCAAAGGCCAGGGGGAGGGAATAAGAGAGGGAGGAGGAGAAATTGCCCTAGTTAGACAGGAAACACAGCAATAAGTTTAACTTTGTTAGCATGGCATTCTAACCAGTAGACCTAACTGGCTACCCCAGGAATTTGTCCTCTGCATTTTCTAAGAAGGAAGTAATGCAATTCTTATATTCTATTTATGATGTGTTCTTACATGTCATGCCTCATGAACAAACACATCCACATAAATCTGAATTCTTCATCCCCCTTTCAGTTCTTTTTAAATTGAGATCTGACATTACATAGCATAAAATTCACTGTGTGTGTGTATATACATACATACACATATATATAAATTTTTATGTATGTATGTATACATACATGTATGTGTATGTATGTGTGTGTGTGTATATATATATTTTTTAAAAACATATTTTTTTTGTGCCGGGCCTCTCATATAATAGACAAATACTCTACCACTGAGTTATGTTTTCAGCCTTAAAATCCACTCTTTTATTATTTTATATTATTACTATTTTTTTTCTTTAGGGGTATTTAACCCAGTGGTACTCTTCAACAGAGCTACATATCCAACCCTTTTTGCTTTATTTATTTTTGGGTACTGGGGGTTGAACTTAGGAGCACTCAACCGCTGAGCCACACCCCCAGCTCTCTTTTATATTTTAAAGATTAGAGACAGGTTCTCACTGAGTTGCTTAGTGCCCGCTTTGTGAGACTGGCTTTGAACTCATGATCCTTCTGCTTTAGCCTTCCAAGCAGTTTCAATTACAGGTGTTCACCATTGCGCCTAGCTCTTTTTATTTTTATTTTGAATCAGAGTTTTGCTAAATTGCTGAGGCTGGCCTCTAACTTACAAAACTCCTGCCTCAGTCACCCAAAACACTGGAATTACAGGCATGTACCATCGCACCCAGCTAAAATTCACCCTTTTAAAGTAGTTTTTAGAATGTTCCTAAAGCTGTATAGCTATCATCACTATACCTACATCTATCTATCTATCTATCCTTATCTCTATCAATTTATCTCAAATCATCACTATAATTCCAGATCATTTTTATTACCCAAATCCATTTTCTCCAGCTCCTGGTAAGAACTAACTACCCTTTGATTCTTTTTATTATCTTTTTTTTTCCTAGATGTTTTAATTACTCTTCAAATTCTTTCCTATCAAGGGCTTCAGGAAATAATTCTTGACTAATGTGCTACAACCTCATTCATGCATGTGTCATTTACCCCGAGTCCTTTTTTCCAAATATCTAAATTTTGTCTTTTTCCACTCTGGAGTTTATTTTCTTATGCAAGTCTTTGTTGGGAATGCTTTTTTGAATGCTATCTCAATCTTAAAAAAAAAAACCCAAAACCAAAACAACAACAACAGCAACAAAAACACGTATACACAGGCATAAACCACAAATTTTTTCTTTTTAAGATAAACTTTTTTGGGGAGGGATTCATTTTCAGCATTTTCACCAGAAAAATCTTTCTACTGTGAATGTCCTGTAGGGATCATCCTTTGTTTCCCTGTGGAAGTGTGATCCACATACATACTCATTTCCTCACTACATAATTGTATTTGTGTATGTCTTTCAGAATGCAGCTCTTCAGCATCTGTTTATTCGGAAGTCCTTCCGGCCTTTTAAGTGTTTGCAGTGTGGGAAGGCCTTCCGGGAAAAGGACAAACTGGACCAACACTTGCGCTTCCATGGGCGGGAGGGGAATTGCCCATTGACCTGTGATCTCTGTAACAAGGGCTTCATCAGCAGCGCCTCCTTGGAGAGCCACATGAAGCTCCATTCGGACCAGAAGACTTACTCTTGCATTTTTTGCCCAGAATCCTTTGACCGCCTTGATTTGTTGAAAGATCATGTGGCCATTCATATCAATGATGGCTACTTCACCTGCCCAACTTGTAAGAAACGGTTCCCAGATTTTATCCAGGTGAGTGTCTGCTACTGAGATTTATGTCTGCTTCCTTCTTTTGGTAAAAGAAACTGATTTTTTTTTTAAATGCCTAGCACCTGCATTTTCATAATTTCTTTGAAACAGCTTTATAATTGAGAACAATATTTTTTTAAACTACTTTTGATAAACAAGAGTATTATAACAATTTTTCAGATCAGTCATTGGTATTTAAACATTCAAGTCATATTGCAAGTAAAAAACACCCAGATCTGGTTATAATTTTTAAAATGTCTATTGTAACCTTGTTAATATCCATTTCTCATATATTACAGAGAGTCTATAAAAGATATACTCCCATTTCCTGGAAACATCTTCCTACATTGTGGTTTCTTATCTTACTTTACAAGGTTATGCATTTTGGAAGGGAAATAAGAGAAAATATATTAGTATTTAATAATTTTTTTCAAGCACTGACTGCTTCCCTGTAGTATATATTGTCTGTTGGAACAAAATAGGTGAAGATAAATCCCAAAATATTCATTATTCCATTTGGACTTTAAATGTTTATATTTTTATATGCTAGTCAGTGAATAATTAAATAACTTGTAAAAATACACTTAATGAAATTTCCAAAGCACAAGTAGACTAGGATATAATTATAGTTCTACTAGTGTTTAGTCTTGGAAAATTTCATACTTCACACAAACAATTATAAAGTTTGCAAGGCAGAATTGAAACTCCAAAAATAATGAAGCAAAATGTCTTATAGGAATAGTTTCATCTGACTCACGACTTAGTTATACCCATAGTTCTTTCTCATGTGATTTTGATGGCTATAAGTTCAGAAGCTATATTCTTTTTTGGCGGGTGAGGGTATGCTGGGAATTGAATTGAGGATGAAGCTATATTCTTTAATTAAGGTTATCTAAAAGCAAAGAGAATAAGTCCAAATTTAGGAGAAATGACCCCAATGTTGTAATCATACATAGGTAATGTTTTCTTTGTTATCTAATTCATGTATTTAATTTTTCAGAAATTAATATTTTTATTTGTTTGTTTCAGTGCTTGGGGCCTCATACATGCTAGGCAAGTGCTCCACCATTTGAACTATATATCCCCAGCCCTACCCAGAACCTGATTTATAGGGAGATGTAAAAGGATCATTTACTAAAAGGGGCTAAATTGCTTCAGTATGTGTTGAAGGCAGAAAAAAAATGAGGAAGAATTATTTTTTGTCCTCTCATAGATTATATTAGCAAGTTTTAATCAAACCTAAAGGAACCCTGCTTAGTCTTAAAAAAAGAAAAAGAACATGGGCAACATTTTGTTCTACTCTTCAGGTCACCTGGGAGGTTAAGATTTGAAAGGTTTTCTGGCTTCTTGTTTTGTTTCTTTGTGACAGGGACAGTATGTGGTATTGAGGCCAATTATCACATCTGATTGGAAGTCATGGCTAGGTTGATGAAATCCATGGTAATGCTTTGGCTCCCTCTAGCGTTGATAGCTACCTTTGGTCATTTCTTTTGGTGTCAGAGTCCCTGAGTTTTCCCGGTTTTTACTGCCAGGTGAAAAAACATGTGCGCAGCTTCCACTCAGAAAAGATCTACCAGTGTACAGAGTGTGACAAAGCCTTCTGCCGCCCTGACAAACTGCGACTCCACATGCTCCGGCATTCAGACCGAAAAGATTTCCTATGTTCTACCTGTGGGAAGCAGTTTAAGGTATGAAGCCAACAAACAATTTGAAGTGTGGTACTCACAGGCAATGGAATTATGTTAAGCTAAGGATACATGCCTGTAGCCAAGGGGTGAGGATATTGCTCCGTGGTGGAATGCTTGCCTAGCATATGTGAGGCCCTGAGTTCTATCTCTAGTACTGCCAAAAAAAAAAAAAAAAAAAAAAAGCCTATTACCACTCACTTTTGAAATACTGGGCTTGGGATGAATTTTGGGCTTCATGTTTGACTTAGTTGTTTATAATATTGAAGGTCATCACAATTATGTTTGGTAACACACATACAACAAGATATAAGCTTTGAAAAGTACTTTCTCTTTCTCTTCACATCCTATACAAATATACCCTATTTATATTAAGGAAAAAGCTTACCTTTATTTTTTTCAAAATAACTAATTCAAATCCTCAAATAGACTAATAATGCATATCCTGAAAGAATACAAATGTATATTGATTTTAAGAGCAAATGTATACTAAATTGCTCTTGAGGAATTCCTGAGATCAATACATTTACATACCACTCAAATCAAGAGATTTTTATTGAACACTTATTAAGTATTAAGAGCCTGTAATTGAGCTCACAGGTAGTAGTACTCTCATCTAACAGGTAGGAAATGTGAAGAACATTGAGAAGGTGAAAGCTACTTTGGAGAATGTTAATGATTAAAGTAAAAAATAATAAGTATCACTAATCTCCTGGAATTTAGAAGACAACAAAGAAAAGCTAGCAGGAGGCTCAGAGATAAGAGTTGCATAAATAAATGTGAAAATAATAAAAATTATATATATATATGCAGAAATATATATATGCAGAAATATATATATATATGTATATGTATGTATGTATGCAGAAATCAGGCAATTCTACAGAAATGTTATTGAGAGACACTATTGAATATGATTGTTGATCACAGTATCATAGAAATTGGAAAATAATCAGTAGTGGATATTTAGGAAGGGAAAACTCAGGTTATATTTGTATAGGATTTGAAGACAAAGAGAAACAGAAAATACTTTCAAAGCTATGTCTTGAGGTATGTGTGTTACCAAACATAATTGTGATGACCTTCAATATATAATAACATAGTTTAGAACTGTGTAGGGGACTCTAATGTGAAAAATAAAAGTGGTCTGGGTTTTATCTGCTTTCTTATATATTTATGGTGCTAGATTCATTTTAATACCTATAAATATAAAACAAAACTTTCTGTTTTAATTTTCTCCTTTAATTTCACACACTATATTAGATAGGGTTCAATCAGCAAGGTAAAACTACCATAATTTTATAGAATAAGGAATTTTCTTAAAAGATAAAAAAATTAGTTATAGGAGAGGTTAGAGGAGTTAAGGGTCTGAAGGGAGAATTTGAGGAATCAGAGAAGTCTCCAGCACAACCTCTGAAGCACTGCTGTGAGTGGACAAATGGCAGCTTACCTGGGAATCTGAGTACTCAGGCACCTCAAACTGCAAGGTGGGCTCAAAAAGGAGAGTTGGCACAGTCCATGGAAGTCCATTGTGGCTGCATCTGGCAGCCTGCATGGAATTGACCAGCAGGGTCAGGAAGAGAGCTGGTGGCTGAGTGGGAGGGAGAGAGGATTAGTAGGAATCCATTGGCACCTCCATACCAATACCACCTCCAGGTGGCTTTGTTCCTACCTCCCAATCTGGTGCCAGTGTTTCTTTTGGCTAATTCTAACCTGGAACAATGCTTGGAGGGGGATTCCATTTAAACACAGTTCATCTTAGTCAAGTTGACACACTGCAAAGCCACCATATACCTATACTATATTTTTTCAGATTATAACTGGCATAATTTTTCTGAACCAATCTGATGTCATGACCCTTCTGAAAAATCCTTTAATAGCTACTCATACAGATGGATCCCAGAGCTCTTGCCACCTAAAAGGAAGTATAAGATCTGTTTTCTCACTGTTTCTCCAGTTTCCACTTTACTTTGCACTCTGGCTTTACGAATTAGTTGGATCCGCTTCATCATGGGGTACTGTCTTTCCTTGGGCCTTTACTTTGTTACCCCTCACAACCCCTGGCTTTAAATAAACTTTCAGACTCTTATCATTTCACCTGGCTAGTGTCACTTCATTTGAGACATTTCTTGGTCCCTGGGTTAAGTGTTTCTTCTATGTATTCCCATAAGACCTTTTTGTGGTGTCCCTAATACTTGTGTATTGCAACGGTCTGTCCTGCTAACAGTAATTTCCAAGGGGGCAGCATATATATAAAGATTAGGTAGGACTTTCTGACTTTAGGGAGTGTACACCTTAATTGTAAAGTCAGACATTAAAAATATTATTGATGCCAGGCGCAGTGGTGCACGCCTATAATCCCAGCTGCTCGGGAGGCTGAGGCAGGAGGATTGTGAGTTCAAAGCAAGCCTCAGCGAAAACAAGGTGCTAAGCAACTCTGTGAGACCCTGTCTCTAAATAAAATACAAAAAAAGGGCGAGATGTGGTTCAGTGGCCAAGAGCCCCTGAGTTCTGAGTTCAATTTCTGGTAGCCAAAAAAAAGAGAGAAAGAGAGAGAGAGAGAGAGAGAGAGAGAGAGAGAGAGAGAGAGAGAGAGAGAGAGAGAGAGTTTGTGTGTATGTGTGTGTATTTGATATTACAATAAAAGAAAGGACAAAGTACTGAGGGGAGTTCATAGATGAGCTGATATTTTTTATTTTCCAGTACTGGGGATGGAACTGTGGGTTTCATACATGCTAGGCAAGCATTCTGCACTGACCTACACCACCAGCCCAAAGTGACACTTTTGGATTCACTAAAGGATGGGGAAGAGTTTGCCAGCTGAAGAAGGGAAGTGGATGAGGAACAAGGGAGGAATGAAGACGTGCAGAGCAGAGGGAGCAGCAGGGACTAAGGAGATGAGATGGTGAAAGGTAGAGTGGGTGAGGCGCATGGGAAGAGGCTAGTGGTGGGATGAAGCCAGAGAGGTAAGTTAAGCCAGTTTATTATGCTGAGTAACCAAAGTTTTGGTGAAGGGAGCCAGAGGCTTTTTGGAGTAGAGCTTAATCTCAGGCAGAGGCTGTGGACAGGAAGAAGAGAGTCCATACTGAAGGCAGACATTGGAAGGAGAACTTCTAGGACCTGGGGTCTGGGTGAGGGTGAAGGAGGGAGGGTGGATACCAAGGAGGTACATATGGGAAGGAGAGAGAGTGGGGAGATAACAAATCTGGTTTTGGAGATTTGGGGATGGAAAGGAGCCATGGAGATTTGATATTCAAATCTTGTCACTATAAACATGGCATGATATAGTATTAGTATGATATGATTTATGATACGATATAGTATTAGCTTTGAGATTTAGGAAATTATTTGGTTAAGGGGAATTGGTCTGTTAAAGGGAATAGATGGGAGAAACATTTGAGACTGATGGTCAGGAAAAAGTGGAAAGGTAATGGTTCTTTATCATTGTATCTGTAATGAGAGAAATATTGTTATTTAAAGCAGTGTCTTTAACCCTTTTTTTTCCCCTGAGTACTTAACCCAGGGGTGCTTTACCACTGAGCTACATTTCCAGCCATTTTTATTTTTTATTTTGAGACAGGGTCTTGCCAAATTGCTTAGGTCTTGCTTAGTTGCTGAGGTTGGCTTCAAACTTGCAATCCTCCTACTTCAGCCTCTTGAGTCTGAAATTAACAGATGTGCACCACTACAACCAACCTTAACCCAAATTTTACTGCAGACTAAGAAACTCTGAATATTCTCTCCTGGGCGTTCCAGGAATGAGAGGTGGTAGAACAGGAAGAAGAGCAGTTATATCCGTAATAGAAGAGGTGAAGGCTACCTCACATTGGAACTCAGCATCTAGCATGATTCCTGATACTTGGTAGGCACTCCCAGAATATTTGTGGAATAAATGTGCTGGAAAAATGAAGTGTTAAAAAAATTCCCTGTTCCAAAGGATGGGAAGAATTATTTTTCTTTTCTTTCTTTTTTTTTTTTTTGTACTAGAGATTGAACCTAGGGGCTCTCTACCATTGATTTATATCCCCAGTTCTTTTTATTCTTTATTTTGAAACAGGGTCTTACTAAGTTGCTGAGGCTGCCCTGGAACTTGTGATCCTCCTGCTTTGGACTTCTGAATTGCTGGGATTATAGGCATTCACTATTAAGCCCAGCAGAAATACTGTTTTTTTTAAAAAATATATTTAGTTATTGACAGACCTTTATTTTATTTATTTATTTATATGTGGTGATGAGAATCAAACCCAGTGCCTCACACATAGCAGGCAAGTGTGCTACCACTAAGCCACAGCCTCAGTCCCAGAAGTACTAGTTTTATAGGAAGATTCAAAATCTTTACAAGACTAATAACAGATTAATGATATTTTAAAGAGCAGAGAGCCCTACTGGATAAGGGACTTGGCAGTTGTTGAATTTGTTTTTATTCAGGATGTGTTCAGCTAATTATCTCTCTTTGGCCTCATATCAGCATGATGTCTACCTGTAGTGGACAGTACACTTGAACTTCTAAGTCCACAAATGGAGAGATTTCTTACCTAAGTTCATTTGCGATTTAGAAGGAAGTCATTATGTTTGTTGAAATGTATGGCTTTTGTAAATCCAATATTGCCTATCCTTCGTTATCAAAACTATAAGTTTTGTTTTGTGGTACTGGAGATTGAACCCAGTGCTCTAGCACTGAATGATATTCCCAGTTCTTTTTGAGGTAGGGTCTTGATAAGTTGGCAATTCTGGCCTTAAACTTGTGATCCTCCTGCCTCAGCCACCAGAGTTCATGGGATTACAGATATGCAGCACTGCACCCAACTTGTCTTATAGTTCTTAATATCTAACTTACTCCATGTACCCTTTGTCTCTACATAAATGTGAAATCTTTCCTCTCAGGTATCAGTATGATACATATTTGGTGGCCACTTTAAACCAAGGCTCATTAGAAGACACTAATTTGCTGGTGAACAGATTCCCAGTCACTTTTGTCCCAATACCGTAGCCACTCAGATGCCTCTGAGTGAGTTGTGGTGATTGATGATTTGTATCGATATTTTCTATTATTCCTTCAAATAAAAATGTTTTACCTTCACTCTTATTCCTTTTCCAAAACTTCTTTTCAAATAGCGAAAAGACAAACTACGGGAACACATGCAAAGAATGCATAATCCTGAGAGGGAAGCCAAGAAAGCTGACCGTATCAGCCGCTCCAAGACCTTCAAACCTCGAATCACATCCACGGACTACGACAGCTTTACCTTCAAGTGCCGGTTATGCATGATGGGCTTCCGGCGACGGGGCATGCTGGTTAGTGCCAGATGCCTCCAAACCTCATTTTTGTCAATGTTGATGGCTTTGGTATTTTTATTCTGTACTAAGTTATGTTTGTCAGTAGCTTTTATCAATAGCTAGGGGAAGAAACAGGTTAATAGTTCCCAATTTGGAGTTTTCTTCTTTCCAATCTGCCTTTGCCCTTCAGTACCACTTCTTAGGTGACACCTCTTCCTCTTTTTTTTTTTTTTTTTTGGTGGTACTGGGAATTGAACCCAGGATTGCTCTACCCCTGAGATACATTGTCAGTCCTTTTTAATTTTTATGTTGAGACAGGGTCTAGCTAAGTTGCTGAGGATGGCCTCTTGTGATCCTTTTACCTTCTGAGTAACTGGGATTATAGGTATGGACAACTGTTCCTCTCTTGGGTGACCTTTAAAAGAGGTCTTTTTCTGCCACCATTTTTTTTTTTTTTTTTTTTTTTGGTGCACTAGGGTTTGAACCCAAATCCTCATGTATATTGAACTTGTGCTCTGCCATTGAGCCACACACCCAGCCCTCTACCACTTTTCATTACCAGTTTTGTTTTTTTAACCCTTCTTAATTCTTTTGCTCTTATCCTGTTTTATTTCCATCCTTCTCTTTTGTGTTTCTGAATATTATTTTTGGCAGGATTTTTGCCTCCTCCCCAACTGTCCCCCATTTTTGCTTCTTTTTTTACCAGCTAGGGAACTGTAGCAATAAGAGAAAACTCTCCATGAAAGCAGGGTATGTGGTCCCAGACTAGAGGCAATATCAGGATAGTCATTTCATTTCTCTCAACTTATTTTGACTTTGTATCTGTTGCAGAATATATTTCTGCAAGAGCTAGAGAGTCATAGGACAATATTTAAAATTCAGAACCTTACTTTGTATCAATTCATTCAGTATTCTCAGTAAAGCTAGAGCAACTAAATTCCAATGAAAGACAGGTTTGCATCAGGAGAATTCATGGAAGAAATTCATGTTCATGTGATTTTCCTTTTTCTAACAGTATTTCTTTTAGCTAGAGACTATTGATGGGACCTGGAGTGACCCATTTCCCCCTCAGTTGTTTGCCAAGCTATTAGCAACTATTAACATGCTTTGGTATCATATGGGTCTGATGATGTTGGTTCTGGGCAAATACCTTATTATTTTGAGGCATTGTGTCAGAGAATTTTAACTTCTAGCACTCATCATCAGAGGCATTTATTTAGCTTTTGTCTGTAATGGGGTCTCTTTCTCATTTGTTCTTTCTTTCTTTTCTTTTTTTTTCCACTTTAGGTAAATCACTTATCAAAGAGGCATCCAGACATGAAGATAGAAGAAGTGCCAGAGTTAACTCTACCCATCATAAAACCAAACCGGGATTACTTTTGCCAGTATTGTGATAAGGTGAGAGCGAAATATCCTTCCTGCTGTGCCACTGTGGGAGCCCTGCTCAGAGCCAAGTGTGTCTATGTGTGTAAATATATACTAGTTACTCTTAACAGATGGTTCCCTGCTTCTTAGTAGTTTTCCATTCAGACCAGAAAGTGCTACAAATGCAGTTTCATTTTTAGCCAAATTTTTTTTTCTTAAGAATTTGTTTTTCTTATTGTGTCTTCTCTCTATGACTTTTGTTACAAAAGAAGAGGCTTATTACCAAGAGCCTAGAATATGAATTCATTTTATTCCTAAGTTCTTAACATGAGAGTATTTATCATCTTACTTGTAAATATGTGGTAGATCTAGCATTTCTAGAGGACTGAGTGGAATGTGAAAAAGTTTGTGATGGTAGAGTACTCTACTTATACTATTTCATTCTTAATTTTTGTGCAGTTACAAAAAAGACAGAAAGAGAACATACTGTTTATTATAATAGTGTGTAGAATATAGCCTTGTAGAATGTAGTTATGTCAGATTAAAAGTAAAGAACATGATTTAAATATAGAGTCCCTACCAAAGCTACTAGTTGCTATTAAACTTGCCATTTGAAGATTCTTTGGTTCCTAGTAGTTGGTCACATACATCATATGAGAGCTTTTATAGATAGACTAAAGGATGTACTGGCCTTAAAAACAAATCTCTATTTCTTTATGTCCTCCTTTTGAGCTTTCAGGTAAAGGATATTTTTACAGTTAAAATCTTAGATATATACAGAAAAATTCAAGGAAGATGCCTGGCATATCTTTAGTATGTTCTTGTTTTATTCTGTGTATTTATGTATATCATTCTTCAGAAGATCTGTTAATATATTTTCTTTGGGGCATTATCATTTTTTTTTAATTCCTTAGAGTGAAATTGTTAGTTTGCTTTAAGCAAGAAAAAGGAATTGTACACTGCTTTCATGGCAAAGTATTTGAACTTACAGGTTTATAAAAGTGCCAGCAAGCGTAAAGCCCATATTCTGAAGAACCATCCAGGAGCTGAGCTCCCACCAAGCATTCGGAAACTTCGTCCTGCTGGTCCTGGAGAGCCAGACCCCATGCTGAGCACCCACACCCAACTTACGGGCACCATTGCCACCCCTCCTGTCTGCTGCCCTCACTGTTCCAAGCAGTACAGCAGCAAGGTATGGCACCACCTTCTGACCACATCTGACAGCAAAACCTCTACATGAGGTTTTCATGTCTTAACAGAAGGTGACTACTCATCCAGGTGGCCGAGAGGTCTCCTTTCTAATTGATGGGGGATTGAAAGAGACGTCGTTCTAGTCCCTGTAAGAACTGAATTCTCAGTGCTACTCCTTCACTGCAATATTATCAGAACCTCTAGGGTAGCTCCCACAGTGATGAGTGGGAGGAGAATGTTGTAGACTCCCTAGAGTTAGTGCCTGAACACTTGACTGTTCTCTTCTGCCCTTGACCTGCTGAGGGTCTCAGATTTGAATATTCTGCACTCATAGTTTATAAGCTTAGGCTTATGGAAGCATTTTGTAGGAACTGAAATGGTGGTTCTTGAAAAGGGGGTCATTTGTGCTGGTGATGGGGATTGTGACTGATTGTTATGGATATTAAGGGGGTAAGAGATGCTGTGAAGATTTTGGACTTGCCTGATGGTGTAGGATCATGTAAGTTTTTACTTTTCCACCTACTTTTTTCTTTTGCTTTCATATCCTTATATTACTTTTGGAAATGCAGGCATAGAGTTGGTGTTGCTCTGATTTTTCATTTTATTTTAATTACTTAATTAACTTGAAAGATGGGGTTAACTATGTTGCTTAAGCTAGCCTCAATCTCCTAAGCTCAAGGGATCCTCCTGTCTTATCCACCCAAGTATCTGGGACTACAGGAGTATGCCATGGAGCCTGTCTGATTTTTTATTTTGTAAGGTCACAAAATAAAAGACCTTCAGAAACGTTGGATGGTTTGCATATGAAAAGGATTAAAAACAACTCATTTTAGTAATTATTCTTGATTTTTTCTTAAATTTTTCAGACCAAGATGGTCCAACATATTCGAAAGAAACATCCAGAGTATGCTCAGCTTCCCAACAGCATCCAGACGCCCCTGACCACAGCTGTGATCAGTGCCACCCCAGCTGTTCTGACGACAGATAGTGCCACTGGAGAGACTGTGGTGGTAAGTTTATGACTAGGAGAGCGTTTAACTTCCTTTGATGCCCATCATATTTATAAATACTCATTTTGTTATTTTAATTGGCTGCAAATAGAGCCCATTGTCATTCAGTTTGCTATATAAGGCATTATGCTTGGGTCTCCTAGTCAGTGTTTTCCAAAGCTCTCTGTCAAAGAAGTAGCAAGGAATTCTCAATGCTACTCCTTCACTGCACTATTATCAGAACCTCTAGGGTAGCTCTGTTGAGCAAGAGATAGGCACTCAGGATTATTTTGTATTTCCATGATCCATTGGCATGATTAATTAAATTTTAACAGGATTTAAGAGCACTGAAAGAGCTACAATCAGTAGTTTATCAACTAAAGTGTTCTGTGTGATTTTTCTAGACAACAGACCTGCTAACCCAAGCGATGACAGAATTGTCTCAGACCTTAACAACTGATTACCGAACACCACAGGGAGACTACCAGAGGATTCAATACATCCCTATGTCCCAGTCTGCATCTGGGCTCCAGCAACCTCAGCATATACAGCTTCAAGTGCTACAGGTGGCCCCGGTACTGTGTGACATTTACTTCTGTTTATCTTTATAAGCATCATATTGCTATTAGCCAAGATGTTAGCTAGAGTCAATGAAAGCTCCCAGGTCTCAGAAATGGACATAGGCTCTACATAATGTGCTTCTGCATGGAAATTCTGGATCTGGGGAATTTGTAAAACACTATTGCTACCGTCCTTCCCAGGGTGATGCAGGCTCTGGACTTGGCAGTGTAAAAGATTTCTTTCTATCCTAGTCAGGACATTTTAGGCTCTAGCATACATAGTGTGCAGGTACTAATGACACCTAGCCTCTTATGAATCCTTGTGCTGTAGCATCCAGGTTGACTACTTGATAATGCACTAGTTTGAATAATCCCTATTTGGGTATCAAATGGCTTGTATCATTTGAGAGGTTGTAAAATATAATTTTGATTCAGTCTATGACTATTCATTAGTATCTTTTTAGTAGAGAATTATAACTATGTTCTTTCTACTAGATAATGAATAGTTCATTCTTACTCATTAGGGAGCAAAAAGAAGAAATCCTCTCAGAACTATTGTTTATTTATTTGTGTGTTTGTTTTGGTAGTGAGGATTGAAATTGTGTGCTTTACCATTGAGCTATATCCTCAGCCTTTTATTTTTTGAGACAAAAGTCTTGCTAGGTTGCTGAGGGCCTTGGTAAGTTGCTGAGGCTGGCTTTAAACTTGTAATCCTTCTGCCTCGGCTTCCTGAGTTGCTGGTATTACAGGAAGGCACCACTGTGCCTGGCTCTTTCCTTCGCTTATGCTGTGAGAATGTATATTCAAAACACAAATGAATTTGTTGCTTTGAAATCAGTTGGTTTTGAAAATTTAAAACCAACATGGAAGTTACCACTGTCATTCACTATTCTTTTTTGCTTTTGCAGCACTGGGGATGGAACCCAGCGCCTCATGCATATTAGGCAAGTGCTGTACCACTGAGCTACATGCTTAGCGTTTTAAATTTTACTTTGAGACAGGATCTCACTAAATTGCCTAGACTGGCCTTAAATTTGGAATTCTTCTGTGTCAGCCTCCAAAGTAGCTAGGGCTAGGATTACAGGCATGTGTCATTGTGTCTGGCAACGATTCTTTACTCTTTTTTCCCCCCCATATGGAACAGTTCTTGGCTTTATGCTAAGAATCTATGAGGCCCTGTAGTTTTGTGTTAAACATGATGTGAAGAAAGGTGAGGTGGTGCATGCCTATAATCTCAATGACTAAAAAGGCTGAGGCAGGAGGATTGCAAATTTGAGACTATCCTCAGCAATTTAGTGAGATCCTGTATCAAAATAAAAACTTAAAAAGGGCTGGGGATATAGGTCAGTAATAGAGCATTCTCAGGTTTAATCACCAGTATCACAAAACAAAGGAAAAGAACAACAACAACAACAAACATTCCCATGATATGTATATATATTGACTCTGGAAAAAGGGGCCAGCAATACTTTGGCTAGATTTTCAAACATGGTTGTGATATGTAAAAGGTCAGGGACCACTGTTTTAGTGGGTCTGAACATAAAAGCACTACTGTTATCTTCATTTTTCAACTGTTCTAATTAAGACTACTATTAAAATGGGCACCCACATTTGGAAATGATTATTGGCAGATCTTTTAAAGTAATTCTTTTTTAATGAATAGCCAAGGATTTCACGTATAATTTTGTACCCAGAATCACACAGTAGGTTGGCAACATTTAACTTTAAAGGGAGACAGTATCAGTATAAAATATATAATTTTTCACTAAAGCTTTAGTATACATTTTATACTGATGAATTTATTATGATTAAGAGGCACTCCTCTCAAGACATTATAATAGTTTGTGTATAACTGCTCATAAAATGTGGGATTTCTTGGGCTGGGATTGTAGCTAAGTGGTAGAGCACTTGCCTCACATATGTGAGGCACTGGGTTCAATTCTCAGCACCACATATAAATAAATGGATAAAATAAAGGTCTATCAACAATTTAAAAAAATGTGGAATTTCTTATAATTTTTTGTTTTACTCTTGGAATAATACTTTTTATATTGGTTTTATAGATATAGTCACAAGAATACCTAGTGATAGCATATACCAGGTAGTGATAAACTAAAAGCAAGTTCTCTTCCTTGGTCTCTTTTAACTGATAGGACACTAAATTAACGAAATTTAAAGGAAAAACATTGTTGGTTTCTGAGAGATTCTCATGCAGTTTATTACTGATATTATTATTATCATCATAGTTATTATATTATAGCACTGGTGATTAAACCCAGGGTTGCTCTACTACTGAACTACATCCCCAGCTCTTTTCACTAATTTATTATGAGAGAAGCTCTTGCCAAATTTTGAGACTGGCCTCAAACTTGCTCCTTGTCGAGTAGTTGGGATTACAGGTGTGTACCACTGTACCCAGCTGTCATGTAGGTTATTATTAGGAACCATATTTTTCTTTCTCCTTGTCTTCCAGAATTTTAGTACCTTATATTTTAGAAGCATTTTTAGAATTTTAATCCTGGACAGCTTGGCTTATAGGTGTGTGCCCTCTGGGAGTGCAGTGTGCAGCGTTAGATTCTGAAGTATCACTTATTCTTCTATTGGGACATTATTTTTAACTGAACTTTTTCTCTGGTAAGATTTCCCTTAACCTCAAGTGATATATATTTGGTTTCTGGGCCTGTTTTTTTCTCCCACCAGGCCACTTCCCCTCACCAGTCTCAGCAGTCCACTGTGGATGTTGGACAGCTCCATGATCCTCAGACCTACACACAACATGCTATCCAGGTGCAGCACATCCAAGTCACTGAGCCCACAACCTCAGCCCCGTCATCATCCCAGGTATCTTCTCTATGGATTGTTCAGAGGAGTTAATGTGGCCTCAAGGACCATAAGAGGAACAGTAAAGACATTATCCACCACTACTGAGATTATGTTGTTATTTTTGGGCCTTAATTAATAAGTCTTACCTTTGCCTCCAATTTTTATTTTAGTAAGGTGTATCCAGTTGCATTAAGTTGTTAACTTCCCCTGTCCCTGTGGAACCCTGTGATATGATATCCTAGAAACAGCACTAGCTTTTCTTCTCATTTTAAATGGCATTGCTAAATTGCTTCTATGATTTGGAACAATGACTTTGTGGAGTACTACTCTGTATTGTGTTTGCACGATTGAATCTGTCACAGATATTAAGTAAGCATGGGAGTAAAGAGGAGAGGGAAGTTATATATAGCAGACTATGTAGAAATTATGTGTGGATGTGATCTTTGAATTAGGTCTTGAGGGGGTATGGAAGCATTGTGATATGCATAAGCTGAAGTTGTGAGTAAGAGTACAGAGTTGTGAAATTGTGGTATATTAGAGGAAACTGAGTGATTCTGTTTAGGAATAGGAAATGATGTTTGGAAAAAAAGTAGGAAAAGTAGCTTGGAGCTGGATTCTGGAGGACCTTGAATGGCAGATGACAGAGAATGTTCCTATCTGATAGGAGTAAGCCTCTACACCAGATGTCTGAATGCGTCCCTGTGCTTCATTCCACAACCAGGGTGGGATTATTTAGCACAATTTAATGGAAATTGTGATCTGGGGGTTATATTTTCATTTGGATGCCAGATTAGTTTTGTGACATAGGCAAATTATTTTACTTCTCATTTCTTTTAATCTTATATAACACATGCAATTATGCTTTCATTCATTTATCTAGAAAGCTTATTGAAATTAATTTTTTGGATACTTCTGTAGATTATCTTCTGAAAACAAATTAGAATTTCAGGGTTTTGATTGCTTTTTTGTTCATTCCATTCTTAGTTAAAAATATTAGTACTTTAGCAGTGATATACTTTGGCTTATAAAATTCATATTATTCTGCTTTATTTCCTTCAGTTATTTGCAGGTCTTAGATCTATAGAAATTTCATAATTTCCTGCTTTTGTTTTCTCCTTCTCCCCAGGTGGCTGGGCAGCCACTGAGCCCTTCCGCTCAGCAGCCTCAGCAGGGGCTCAGCCCCTCCCATATACAAGGCAGTTCTTCCACACAGGGGCAGACTCTGCAGCAGCAGCAGCAGCAGCAAAACTCCTCTGTGCAACACACGTATCTTCCCAATGCTTGGAATTCTTTCCGAGGCTACTGTGAGTGAGAAAAATGGGTACAGTGTTGTATAGCTCATGGGCTGATTCTCCATCCATATGTTTCCATCTCATCAGCTTTATAATAGGTTTTTAAATTAAAATATCAATTGGGCATTTTTTAACACTATGGTATATATATATATATTTGAATGAGTTTCATGACAAAATTCAAGGCAGCATTTTGATCTCAGAAAGCCAGTTGGATATAATGTTTTCAGAGACATTAGGTATGTTGATAAAGAAAGTATAGGTAGGTGACTTAAATAGAATAGATGAAGAGAGAATATGTCAATGGTAATGATTCATCCCTTCCGTCAATAATTATTAAATATCTATATATTAATCACTGTGCTAGACTCTGGGTATACAAAGATTAATGTTGACATTAATATCAGTAATGCTACAAAATAATGTCAATGTCAACAATAATTTTTAAAATTTTGTTTTAGTACTGGGGATCTAACCCAGAGACTTTAACTTTACCACTGAGCTACATCCCAGTTCTTTTTATTTTTTATTTTGAGACAGGGTTTCACTAGGTTTCTTAGGGCCTTGCTAAGTGGCTGAGGCTGACTTTGAACTCTCTTGCCTCAGTCTCCTAAACTGCTGGGATTATAGGCATGTGCCACCATTCCTAGCTGTAAGCCAACTTTCATTAAGCTCTTAGTGTATGCTGAGAATGATTCTAAATTATGTATATCACCTTCAGTATTGACAGCAACCTACAAGATAAGTACAATTGTTAATTGCATTTTACCGATAAGGCAGTTTATACTGTATTTAGACACAACAACTTATCTAAGAGATATAACTAGTCACTGGAGAACTAGAACCCATGCTGTCTGGCTCCAAATCTTATACTCTAAATTATCCTGCTGTGCTGTTTCTCCTAATAAAATAGTCTTTGGGTCAAAGGGATCATCATCTGCTGGGCAGGGTGGCACACACCTATAATCCTGTCTACTTGGGAGGCTGATGCAGGAGGATGTCAAGTTTGAGACCAGCCTTAGCAACCTAGTGAGACCCTCAGCAACTGAGTAAGACCCTGTCTCAAAATAAAAAATAAAAAGGTCTGGGGATTAGCTCAGTGGTAAAATGCTCCTGTGTTCAATCTTTGGTACCAAAAGAGAGAGATAATCATCTAGCAAAGGAAAAAAAATATATATATTATAAAACCCTGACATTAGTGTTATGGAAGAGTATCAGGTTAGCTGCCTGAAGTCAGAATAGGTAGAAATCAAGGTTGGGATGAAAACTTTGGGTGTGGGCTAGAAACATATGAGACTTTATTATGGAAAATGTAGAAGGAACAGGAAGAGAGATAACAGATCTTAATAGAAGCAAGTAGGAATTCTGAGCCCTAAGAAGCAGGGAAGTAGTGTTGATCTTTCTCCTACTATTGATGTCTTTTTTTGAGGGGCCCATCACTGTTATGGACGATCCTTGGCTATATAACATAGATTTGCTGTAGAGTCAGATTTGAGCTCTGCCATTTAGTTATTTTGAAAATCTGTTTATTAAATACTGGTGGTTCCAATGAGGGCCAAATCTAGTTTATGGTCATAGAAAGACACTCTGACTCCAGAGTAAATACCAGTAGAATCCTGGGAAATAGACTGATGTTTATGGTTAGTTTAATTCCTTTGAAACATAGTAAATGATAAAGATATCCAGCTATCTATGATTATAAAGTATAAGCTAACATTCTAATATGAAGATAAGATTCTGGAACTGAAATTTTTTATTATAAAAAAATTCCAATATTATGCTTGGGTAGAATAGTATACTGAACCCCCTGTACTCATCCTTTAGCTTTAGTAGTTACCAAGTCATATCCAGCTTCATCTCTATCCCATCCTTCTCTCCCATCCTCCAACTCAATAATAATCCATTGTATCATTTCATCCATACATAGTTTAGCATATATCTCTAAAATTGAAAAGTTGATTGGACATGGTAGTACATACCTGAAATCCCAGTGACTCAGAAGACTGAGGCAGGAGGATTTAAGTTCAAGGCCAGCCTCAGCAATTTAAAGAGGCCCTGTTTCTAAGTAAAAATAGAAAAATCTGGAGCTGTAACTCAGTGGTAACATGACCCTGGGTTCAATCCCTATTACCAAAAGAAAAAGGGAAAAAAAACCCTAAAATTAAAAAGTCTGGTGTTTTTGTTATTTGTTGTTTGCGTGTGTGTGTTGGGGGCGGGGTGGGGTTTGTGCTAAGGATTGAACCTGGGGCCTTGCACATACTTAGCATGTGCTCTATAACTGAGCTATATCCCATTTAAAAAAAGGCCATTTAAAAAAATATAACATTATCATAATACAACATTATAACACCTAAAAATGAATGACAATAATTCTTTAATCCCCTCAAATTTACTTCAGATATCCAGTCAGTATTCCTATTTCTTTGATGGTCTCAGAAATTAAAAAAAAAAACAAAAAACAACAAAAAAAACCTTTTGGTTTATTCAAATTGGGCCAGAGGAAAACCAGACTTGGTCATTTTTTTTTTTTTTCCCTTGGTATTAGGGATTGAATCCAGAGGTGCTTTACAACTGAGCTACATTCCCAGATCTTTTTAATTTTTATTTTGAGAGAGTATCTCCCCAAGTTGCTGAGGCTGGCTTTGAACTTGTGATTCTCCTGCCTCAGCCTCCCAAGTCACTGGGAGTGTGTGCATCACCAGCCTAGCATATTGTTGTTGTTTAATATACTTTCTTCTGTCTCTTTTATTTCCTGTAGACTGGCCATTAGATCTAGAGGCTTGACTAAGTTCAGGTTCACACCACACCTGGTGTGTGTCCTTTCATCAGGAGGCATACAGTGTTTGGTTGTCTCTCTTTTTGTGATGTAAGGAGTCATTGATGTTTATTCCTTAGCTTCATTGTTTTTTTAGGGCTTATAAAGTAGTGATATTTGGATTCTATAATTCTTCTTCATTAATTAGTTGGAAAAACATTTTATCCTAATTAACCAGATGACTCTTGAGTACAGATTGTGTAGGAAAGGGAGGATAAATGCTTTTGATACACAATTAATCACCTTCATTTAGCAGTTTTCAAAATAATGAGTGGGTTTTCTAGTGTTTTGCAAGGTGACGAATGAAGGATATATATATGTGTCTTAGTGTCATTTTGTACTCATGAATTACAACACATGACATATTTGAACCTATTGCAGTATTTTCCTTATTGATGTTCAGATTATTTCATTTTTGCTTAGCAGGAGTCTCTTCAAACTGTCTCCTGCATCTTTCTCATATGACTGTATAAGCCCCAAACATGATGTTCCAGGCTTATCTTACCCATCTTCTGCTCAGAGCTGGAATCATCCATTTTCCCGAGAATACCTAATTCCTTTTAGCAGAAAATATTATTCAGAGACTATCAACAGGGTGCTAGGGTAAACTTTGCTTATGATTTTCTTTAATGACAATAATTCAAGTTGTATTTAGTTGTGATTACTATTTAGTTGTGATTACTGTGGATACATTTGTGCCATAAATTCAGACATGAATCTAAAAGCTAAAAATTTTGAGTTAAAGATAAGCCTTTGTAATATATTTCCAGATTTAAAAAATAGGTAAATATTTGTATTTGTGGATATTTGGAAGCCACACTTGAGTGGAGACGCATTAATTGTCTCTGATTTTTAGTAGCTCTGTAGTAGTGCTTATGATATTATTTATTTTTATCAGAGATACTTTCACTCTATCAAGAAATCACTGCATCCCAAGACTCTCACAGCAAGGAGATCTATGGGAAATAGCTCAGTGAGGACTATGACCACTGGTTAGGTACAGATGGTTCAACTACCATGGTTCAACTTAGGATTTTCACCTTAATGATGACGGAGAAGCATAACCATATAACCATTCTGGGAGTTTTGTTTTTATTTTTGAGATATGATGTCTTGCTGTATTGCCTAGGCTGATTTCAAACTCCTGGCCCAAGAAATCTTCCTGCCCCAGCCTCCTGAGAGGTGGGACTACACCACTATGCCTGGCTGTATTCTGTTTTTCACTATCAATGCAGTATTCTCTAATTTACATGCGATAGTCAACACTTTGTTATAAAATTGATCTTGTGTTAGATGAATTTTTCTCAACTTTAGGCTGTTATAAATTTTCTGAGAAAGTTTAAGTTAGGCAAGGCTAAGCTGTGATACAGGGGTTGTGATGCATATATGATTTATGATGTTTTCATTGTGGGATAGGTTTATTGGGATGTGACCCCCATCATCTAAATAAAGGAGCATCTGTATTTGTTTCTGGAACTTGTATTAAAAATTTGTATATTTCCTATTTTCAGCATCTGAGATTCAAATGATGACACTTCCCCCAGGTCAGTTTGTGATTACAGACAGTGGTGTAGCAACTCCTGTCACTTCTGGCCAAGTGAAGGCGGTTACTCCGGTAAGCTACCCTGTCCAGAACACTTGTCACAATTTGGTCTTTATTTATTGCTTTATTCTATAGTTTCTCAGTAGATGATTTCTTGAAAGCTGTGTCTATCACTTAATCCTCTGCCTTGCTCTGGAAGCTAAACTATAGCAAATGCTTAACTAATAATTATAATGAGCCTCCTAGACACATCCATATGATCACTTTTTTTTATACACTTATTGGAAATATTGCAAGTCCTCAAAACTATTGGTCTTCAACTGGGCTGGGAGAGAATAATATAATGGATCAATTATAGAGCTATTTTAAATAATTTACCCATTCGAAGGTGAAAAACATTGCCATAATATTTAACTTTGGCAGGTACAATATTGATTGTATCTATTCCTTTTGTTCTTCATGTGTTTGTTCTGGTCTGCTTCTTAAATTTTAGAAAGACAGTACACAAATTTAAATTAAGAAAAATATTCTTGGGCTGAGTGTAGCTTGATGGTAGACGGCATGCTTAGCATGTGCGAGACCCTGGGTTTGATCCCCAGCTCCCCCCAAAAAAGAAAATTAGTCTTGGATTAATAAGTTCTGGAGATCTAGGGTACAGAGTACAGATCTAGAATGGTGACTATAGCTTATAGTAATGCATTATATAGTTAAAAATTACTGAGAGTAGATTTTAAATGTTATCACCACATACACACAAAAAGGTAAACATATGTTGATGGCTATACTAGCTTGATTTTTTTTTTCATTTATGTTAGCTTGACTTAATTATTTCACAATGTATACATATATCAAAACATCAAGACTGGGGTTGTGGCTCAGCAGTAGAGCGCTTGCCTAGTGAGTGTGAGGCCCTGGGTTCGATCCTCAGCACCACATAAAAAATAAATAAATAAAAACAAAGGTATTGTGTACAACTAAAAGAAATATTTAAAAAAAACAAAAAATCATGTTATATACCATAAATATATATAATTTTATTTTTCTTTTATACCTTTAAGATGCTGGGAGAAAAAAAGAACAATACTCTTCAGTGGCTTAGGGACATTGGGATAGTCCCCAAGGGAAGATTATTTCCCAGGAGGGTAGTATGGTTGTCTAGTTATCTCAACATCGTGATATTTTATTTTTATTTTTTGTAGTACTGGGGATTAAATCCAGGGGCATTTTACCACTGAGCTACATGCAAAAGCCCTTTAAATTTTTTTTTTTTTAATTTTGAGACAGTCTTTTTAGTGGTTGATAATACTTTTCACAGACTTGCGTTAGACTGGCTTTAAATTTGTAATCCTTCTGCCTTAGCCTTCTGAGTTACCCCTTCCTATACTCTTAATGTTAAAGTGAATATTTGATGGTAGGATATAAGGACATTTTAAATGTCCTTACTAGGAAAAACAAAATTTTGCAACTAGTAATATTATTTTTTTTTAATTTTGCTGGTTTTTGAAGGCTTAAAATCTGGGAACCACTGATCTTGACTATGGGGGGGCAGTCTGCTTCTTTAAGGACACTCTATCACTTCTTTGATCCATTTTGCATTAATTTTAACATTTGATTGACAGCAATATTTTTTTCTGAAATTCTAAGTTCTTAGGAACAGTACAAAAGTGCATATTTTCTTTACCAGATAGGTTACTACCACCAGCAAATTTCTATATCTGAAGTTCTTCACTGTATAGTTTGGTAACAACAAAGGTAATTCAAGTACTTCCTTGAATTATCATTGTATTCAGTTACTGTGACCGCCCTATCCTCTCTAAAGGATATAGGTAAAGCATCTCTTATAGGTGTCTATTTTGGATCCCCTGTATAATTTCTTTGCATGTTTCCCTCTCCTCTCCTCTGGTAGCTCCTATTCTTCCCTCATAGGCTCTAAGTTTCTAAAGATCCTTCTTTTTCTGCTTTAGGGTCATTATGTGTTATCAGACGGTCAAACAGAATTGGAGGAAAAGCAAACTTCTGCCCTTTCCAGTGGTGTCCAGGTTCAGACATCTGCACACAGTGACTCTCTGGATTCCCAAACCACCAGCCAACAGCAGACCACACAGTACATCATCACCACCACGACCAATGGGAATGGAAGCAGTGAAGTGCACATCACTAAACCCTAGTTTTCACCGTGGAGCTAGCGTGGAGCATTCACATCATGTATTTTCTCATTCATAAGTCTGAAGCTTCTGATACCCAGACCTCTTTTTTAAGATTTAGTATTCACTCAAAGAATTTGAAGACTACAATTTTGGCGTGCATGCGCGCGCGCGCACACACACACACACACACACACACACACACACACACACACATATGTGGGGATTATTTTGTCAAGGTCTTCATTACCAAATTGACTCTTAAAGCCCTTAGAGCTTCTGCCACGAAATGGAGATCTTTCAGGGGAAAGTAGATTTCAGGATGGAGAAACTTTGTCTTGCTCGAGTTGGTTTTTTACCACACTGATAAGCCTTACTTTCCTTCATGGAAATATTAAGTGGCATATTTGTGTTCATACCAAAGGTGGAGACAGGCTGTGCCAAGTCCATGGTCATTGGACTTCTGAATTCCAAGCCATGGCACCAAAGGAGAATGGGCATCTCACAGGTGTGATTTAAATCAGGACTTGTAAGTTTGAGTTTTCAGTAATTTAACAAAGGGAGCTTACTGGATAAGAAAATAAAAATGATGAGACAAAAGTTTGACAGTGGTGTACTGAAGGGAAAACTGTCATTTAAAATTTTCTTATTGCTGACTTTCTTTTCTTTTTTCTTTTTTTAGATAGGGGTGTTGCTATGTTGGTTAGGCTGGTCCTGAACTCCTAGGCTCAAGTGATCCTCCTGCCTCAGCTTCCTGAGTAGCTGGGATTACAGGCAGGCCACCATGATTTTTTTTTTTTAATTTTCATATATTAAAAGACTATGGTTAGTGGTTGATAATACTTTTCACAGATCTTGGTCCTCAGCAGATTAAGGCAGAACCTCATGTCCTGATAGTTCTTTCTTTATTATTTCATAACGATGGGTGGACTCCCCAAAATAGAAAAGACTTCTTGATGTTAGCAGAATTTAAGCCCCTATATGAAACTTTTGCCTTTCATTCTCTGGTTGCAGTTGTATTAAGGGCATATTGGTACCAAGAGAATTTACCCAAATTAAAACTATCCTGTGGGGGCAGGGGCGGGGGGGCAGAGAGGGAGACCTGAAACACTGTCCTGCCTTGCAGCATCCATTTACCATTAATTGGTAAAAGTTGAATTCCTTGTTCTTACCAAGTATACATTTAACTCCCCCCGCCACTTTTTTTTTTTTTTGGTGTGTGTGTGTGTGTGTGTGTGTGTGTGTGTGTGTGTGTGTGTATGTGTGGTGCTGGGCTTAAACCCAGGGCCTCAAGCATGCTTGGCAGGTGCTCTAATAACTGAATTACTCCTCGAGCCCCTACATTTAACTCTTGTTCACAGCATTCAGTATATTTTAATACTTTCAATGCTGTCTTAAAATGAACATTCTTTAAAGTTGGATGGAAAGGTGGCCTTCCTTATTTCTAAAGACTTTTAATTTTAAACATATTGCAACTCATCTGGACCTTTTTATGAGATGACCAACTTCACACTAAGGGGGAAAATTAAAATGCAGGGACCATTTATAATAGGATAATATAAAGGATCTGGAAGAAATTGTCTCTTTATGAATATTATACTGTCAGGTGGGAGAGGAAATGGTTTGTCTTATATGTGTTCCTGTTTAGTAGGAGTCTTGTGTGCTATGAATTCAGTGGGGAAAAGTATTTACCCTCTTTTTACTGTACATTCCAATTGTACCTGTGAAACATTTCAGTCAGTACATATTTTAACAACATTTTGTGACATGCATTTTTAGAATAATTATTGTATAGTGAATTTATCAATCCAGATCAAGAAGACCTAAATACGTTTAAAATTAAGTCAACTAATTATTTTATTTATATTTCTGAGTGAAAACTGGTTCTATGAATTAAGAAGCATAGTAGCTTCTTTATGGTAAAGGTATCTTTCTGAAAAGTAAAAAGAATTCTTTTCTACTAACTTTACTAATATGTAGATCTTGCACTTTATTTTTGAGACCTCATTCACATAGCTATCTCTGAAAATTTGGGCACTAAGAGGACTTGAAAAAGATTCTTCAAAAATGTTTGGAAACTGAAAATGGACTTTCTATCTTTGGTAACAAAGAAGTAACATGGATATTTTCAACAGAAAATATTGATCTTGAGTCACAAAATGCAGACTCTAGTTCCCAAAGTTCCATAATATAATGATTGTAAGTAACCTATTGCCCTCAAGAAAGACTTGTTAGGAGGAGAATACTAGACTTTTCCAAAGGTCCAGTTTGGGTTTTTGTAACTTATATTTGGCCCTGTTGGGTTCTTTTTAATTTGATCCAGCAAGGAATCTTCCCTCTTCTCAGGAATAACTTATTGATTAAAATAAAAAATTATCACTGAATAGAATGTTCGTTTTATGCCAGTTATTTTAAGTTTTAAAATACACAGAGGAAGATCTTGTTGAAGAACTTTGTCTCTTTCCCTTCTAAGTTTTTCCTTTGTCTTTTTTAGTCCTTATGTGGAATAAATTAAGACTCTAAAACTAACGTTATCAACCAGAGATGCAGGTGGCACTAAAGCCAAACAACATTGCTTTAGGATCAGGTATTGTGCACATTAATTCCAAGGCAATATTTTCAAAAGGACTTGGATTTGAAGAGATAGCAGACTATAATTCCTCTGAAGACCTAATTTGGGAAACACTTATGTAGCCAATGTTTGTTTTGTGGTCACTCCCAAAACACACTGACACTGTAGACTTTATTCAGTGCAGAGTGATATTTTGGAGTAGGGTGGATATAAATTTTACATTTTTATTGTTTGATTTATTCCCAAATAGACATTTCATCATGTAAAATTTCTGTTCTTCTGGAAAAAGTTTTTGTTTGATCTTGAATTATTTTCTGACTTGGAATTATCCTTTCAGAAAAGTCTTAAGATAGCTAGGGCTAAAAAGCACTTCATGAGATGCTAAAGCTTACCCATTGGTTGAATATGTTGACCCTATCCTATTATTTAAATGTGAACATTTCTTGTACATTCAGTGAGTTATAGTGTTAATAGTCTTGTGCTATGCAGCAGGTGTAAAAATTAATAAATATTTTTTTTAATAAACATGTTTCTTGTTTGTATATATAAAGCTGTAAGAGCTACTGAGATGGTTAAACTCTTTTTTTTTTCCTTTTAAATTTTACAATGTAATTTCTGGTTCCCAATCAGCATTTAAGAAGCTTGAAAGTTGCTACTCCATCCTACCAACAAGTAAACAGTTGAAGAAACTGAAAAATCAACAACTTTTTAAATTTATTTTTTTAGAACGGGGATTGATCTCAGGGAGTGTTCTGCCACTGAGCTATACACACAGCCCTTTTAACTTTTTTCTTTTGAGATAGAATCTCTCTAAGTTGCTGAGACTGGCCTCAAACTTGTGATCCTCCTGCTTCAGCCTCCTGTGTAACTGGGAATATAACCATGTTCCATTACATAAGACTCAACAACTCTTCTTAGATCCATCAGAAAGTGAGGTAACAGAACAAACTGCCACCCTCAAAATTGGAGAGATTGACAAGTGAATGTAGAATCTCAAACTAAAATCAGCAGAAATCCACAAACAAAAAGGAATATGAGCCTCTAAGGGAACAAGTGCCAGGGTAGGAAATCCTGAAGCATAATCAATGAATTGCTGAAAGCTCACTGTGTACAAGCCTGAGACACAAAGGGAACCCTGTCATTGGAAGAGAAAGGGAATCCACATTTTTTGAGTTTTACCTCCATAAACTTGACTAGGTTCTCCCAGTGAATATTGGAGAAAAATTCCCTCAAGATCCCAGAGAGGTAGGGAAGAAGGAACTCTTTTGAAATATAGCAGAGCACTACTTTTTTTTTTTTTTTTTTTTT